TATGAATGATTAATGCATATTATACGATATACCTACAGACTAATAAATTATTAATAATAATTTTAATTGGTTGGTACTTTGTAAAAAATGTAAATTATTTTTTGTTGTTTTAATAAGTGGTTGAAATTGTCTGTCAATAACCTCGCTATTACTATCCATGTGCTTGTTATTGTCTCCATCTTACAAACGCGTGCGATATATCAAATTTTCGTTCATTAGGTATAGTTTCAATATAGTGTTATTTTATTTTTGATAGTCTATAGAATGAATTTACCTAATAACAAACTTTTAAGTAAGATCATTATCTGTGCGTCGGCTTTTATTCGATTTTTTAATTTTCAAGCCTGCAGAGTGTTATAATGTTCTTACCCAAAAGTTTGACAATAAATCAATTTACTCATTAGAGTAAATCATTATTAATCATAGATAGGTACTTATATCTACTTTATATGATACCTGTACTCAACACCTACCTACTACATACTGTACATTAGAGTGGTTAACTAGGTTCCTACTTGGCAAATTTTTTTCATTTTCCCCATATATTAAGAAAATTACTGAGAATTTTTTTACTTTTGGCCCCTCAAAGGAACAACTATATATTTACTCTCCTATCAAAAAGATAGCGAAGTGGTGACAGACACAAAAAACAAATTTAAATACACCTCATTGTAAAATAGAAGTCTACTTTGGTTTCAAAGGTAGGTACCTACCTCTCTGACGCAGACAACAGCATTTGAAATTAAACAATGTCCTAAATGAAAGCAAATTTATCAAATATGGTGTTCCACAGGGCAGTGTTTTAAGCCCAATTTTGTTTATACCCTATATCAGGCGCGTATCCAGAATTTTATTTCGGGAGGGGCTGAACAAAATTATCAACATAGTCACACAATAAACAAAAAGTGGGTAAGTGGATGTCGCTCTGCTGTACAGTAGGTAACAAGTGGGCCACTGTAATGGATGGTGTAAAATTTGAATTCAATGATATAATATCATTGTATAAGAAAAACGATTCTAAGCGAAAACGGTCAGTCAGCCTATGATATTACTAAGTATATTTGATGATATTATTGTGAATAAAGTAATTTATATATTTACCTATTTACGTGGACCATTGTTTTAAATTTTTAATCCTTAACTATGAAAGTTGAAAATTTTATAAATTTTTAATTACAAAATATTTATTATATTTTAAATTTGATAAATTTTGTCAAAATTCGAACTTTAAATGATTATAAGAAAAAATTGTGCATATGTATTTTTAATATTTTTCAACTAATATTGTTACAATATATCAGGAGCCTTGCGTTAAATTTTCACGCTTTTTACCCAATAAAAAAAATTTTATTGATATTCATAGAAAAAAAACTAAGAAAAATGAAAACTGTCAATGTCCGTAAATAGCTCAAAAAGAGGCAAAATATTTGCAAATTTTTTTGGTGTATAAAAAATGAAAACATTCAGCAAAATTTTAAGTTATGTGATTTTTCCGTATTTTGTCAAGATTCGAACTTTAAATGCTTATAAAAAAACTATGACTAAGGATTTTTAATATTTTTCAACTGCTATTGTAACAATATAGCAGGAGCCTTGTATTAAATTTTCAAGCTTTTTTACCCAACAAATAAAGTTTTATTGACATTCATATTTTTTGGATTTTCTTGAAATTTCAGGGGGGGCTGCAGCCCACCCAGCCTCCCCCATAAATACGCCCCTGCCCTATATAAATGAAGTATGGGATTTAAAGATATAAGGTACACATTGGTACCATAGTGACCTATGCTGATGATACTTGCCTATTATTCGCTATGTAGACAGAAGACTCATCTTGGAATGGGGTACATATTATAATAAAGTAACAATAGGACACTAAATATTATAATAAAGTAACAATAGGACACTAAACATGTATAAAACAGAGAAGTTTATCCATGAATTTTGAATTTTGATAAATCTATGTTTATGACTTTCTCGATTAATAAATGTACGAATATCGATCCTCCTTTGGTAGGTAATTCATAAATGTAATAATCTTTTAATGTGCAATAATTATAAGGAATATTAACTGTGAACAAATACAACAAATAACGAAGATCTGTTATTTTGGTATCATGTTAGATGAAAATTTGAGATGCAACTTGCATAGGTATTTGCAATCTAGTTGATAAGCTCTGTTCCACAATCCACTAATTTATAAAACGTATAGAAATCTGTAATACAGGTGAAAACGATGCGTATGATTTTTTTCACCTTCTATCAATCCATTATTCAGTATGGGCTCTTAGTATGGGGAGGTGTGAAAGATAATTGTTTAAATCCACTACAAGTGAATCAAAATAGCGTAGCAAGAATAATTTTAGATAAAAAAATAAAAATCCTTAAAAGGTTCAACGAAACTAAATTATAAACTTCTAGGTGTTCTGCCGGCTAAACTATCATATAAAAAAATGCATGACCTTTCACAGTTAAACAATTTATAAGGAACAATAGGTACCAATACAGTTCGTTTTTTTAAGTCCAGAGAACTGAGTTTATAAATTATCTATGAGATTATACTAAAAAAATACTTTCAAATCTTTTATAGATTATTTAGGTCCAACCTAATTCAACCAGTAGCCAACATTAATCATTATCAAAAACAAAATATTCATTATGACTTATTGAATGAAAATTAATTAAATATTTCTTAGTGAAATCCGCATTTAACGATGTTTGTTATTCTTATTTATTTAATCTGTTAAGTGTTTTTATTTTTAAGTATTTAATCATATTCTTAGATTCCTCTTTGATATTTGTGTATAATTTTAATTTTATTTTTCTTATAATTTATATACTCGTTAACGCTCTACTCGCCTAGGCTTACAGGTAGATATATTCCTTATATCTATATTTATTTCTTTATTTACATTATGTATTTCAGTATTTGTAACTTGTAAAGAAATTTATTAAATAAAAAATAAATCATTACATTTACCAAGAATCCTTAAATTTTCGTCTATTAAATAAATTATTGTCTTTCCTATCATTATTAATTCAGTGATCAGTTTAATATTTTAATATGACAATCGAGGTTAAAGCAGCAGCAAGCCTGCAACTAATAATTAAATAATATTATTCTATGATAATATGCATTTATTTCTTTTTTAGTTAGGTATAGGTATAGGACATAGGTATACGGTAGAAATAGTCATTTTTAAGGGTACAATACTTTAATAATATAAGAAAATACGAAGTTTAATCATTATTAATAATTCATTATAGGAATTGATTAATTTTTTATTTTATATAACTAGCTCTTCCATGGGTCATGGCCATATACTATAGGCAGGTTTTTTTTTGTATTCCATAAAAATGAACGAGGTTGTTCATATTATACTGCATTAGGTACCAATTAAAAAATATCGAAAATACATAGATACAATATTTTTTTATAAGCATTTAAAGTTAGAATTTTGACGAGTAAAATTTGAAAATTATTTTGTTGGTTAATATTCATAAAATGTATGGGTAGCCGCCAGCCGGATAGGTACCATAGATTACTAGGTATTTACCTAATTACTTGAAAATGTAGATTTTTCCTTTTTTATCATACTTGAAATCCATTTCATTCTCCACTCAGAATCATTATTTCAACAATGTTTCTAAATTTTGAAGACTCCAATCTAAGATTTTTTCTATATAATTTTATAAAATAATAATTTATTGTTTGATACACATTTTTGAAATATTTTGTAATATATAAATTATAATATCATAAGTACCTAATAAGTATACACAAATTACACATATAATAATACTATATAGTTAAGTAGTTAAGTTACCTACATTATTTTTAAATAATTACCTATATATTATGTTTAAATAGATTCTACATACGACATAAAATCAATCATTACTAAAAGACAATCGATTAATGTAAATTATCTTTCAACAAAGATGGCATGTTGTATTGTTGCTGTTATTACAAAAATGATGCCGTTGTTAATGAATTTGATGAACGACCTAAATAATTTCCTAATTATCACAATGAGATATCTGGAAGAATCTTCACTTAACAATACTAACTAAATGTATTTATACAATGTATTTTATGTATAGAATAAGGTACCTAATAAACTAAAAATAAATAGATAAATATACTTATGGTTTTAATTATTATGTGCAATATATAATATTACCATTTATGTAACACGGTTATAATTAATACAGATAATCCTTTTTTGGACTGTACCTATGTTTCCATTCACTATTATTTTGGAGCACTAATGTATCCTACTTCCAATGAAGGCAAAAACTCAATCTTAGTGATTTGCCAAATATGCCCATAGAACACTTACCTGTACGTTATGACAGAAACCACTTTACTCTTAAAGGGTAGCATAAAAAATTGATTAATTGAAGTCACTAAATCAAGTTTAAGAGACCATTAGCCTACTATATTGACTAGGTGACCATTTAACATAAGACACTAATCAAGAATGTCAAAAACTTTTGAAGTTTTTGAAAATATTTATTACACAATTTTCCAACCTAATGTTGTAAAAATTACACTTTAAGTCATTAGTGATTTAAAAGTTTAACTCTGTTATTTGCATCGCTCAATCAAAAATCAAATACAATTCAAATGTTTATTTCTAAAACTATTAATATATGAAATTGAATTCCTTAAGACCTTGGCTTAGCAGTTTCTATAATCTATATTATGGAATATAATATTTTTAAACTTTATATTCTACTAATAAATTGAAAAATAATAATTTATAATAGAATATAGGTACATATTTCTAACAAATTATGTAATTATCGATTTCCTTAATTATAACCTCTTCATTTACATCTTACTACCTTGCTTTAGGTGATTTTTTTTAATAATTAGATAAATATAGGAAGAATTTAAAAAAAATAAGACACTGAATTGTATTAATTATTTTAATATGATCGTTTAAATTACACGAAAAGGAAACATTGATGTCAAACAGTTTTCTTAAAAATCAGAATTATGCTTTTTTGGATGCAGCTTTCTTCTTTCTGAATTCAGCGAACTTGGTCCTCAAAGCTGTCCTCTTTTCGCTTCTCTCGGTAGCCCTGGCAAATTGATCTGCGGTGGACAAATTTCCTTTTAAAGCATGTTTCTGGTTCCTTAAAAACTTTTGACAAACCTGTAAAAACATTTAAATAATATAATTATGAACATTTAATGATGTTCAGAATATTTTAATTTGTCACTTACACCACGACGTGATTCATGTCTGTATTTCTTTGGCCTGTAAATACCATTACGATGGTCCTTACGATCTGATTAAATAAACAAATAAAAATTAATAAATTGTTATAAGCATTTAATTATTATTAAAATCTTACTTTGATTGTGATTGGTATGATTCTTTGACTTTGCCATTTTTCAAGTTTAAATGAATATAACTTCTGAAAGAAAATAATCATTTATAGTTTTATTCTGTATATAGTATATAAGTTGAATAGGCAGCGGCGCAACTAGGGGAGCTTAAGGGGATTAGACCCCCCAAAATATTTATTATTGATTTGGATATTAGCCGTCTTAGGAGTATTTTAAATTAATAATTTTATTAGGTGGGCTATAGAATCACTGAATTTTTACTCTAGTTGCGCCTATGTGGATAGGTAATACTATTTATTGTAATTTTTCCATAATAATTTACAATATTTAATTTATAGTGACATTTACATATTTTATATACAGAGCAATAGAGGTCCAGATAATTCGTTCAAATATAAAAAAATAGTTTTTTTCTATTATTGAGACTACATTTTTTTTTTTGACAGTTTTACCTTCATACCAAATAACTTTTTTACATATGGTAGTTATACACAATGTTCAGTTTTACTAGTAAAAAATTAAATATAATTATTTGTTTACAGGTTAATATGAAACTAAGTTTTATTTTTAATTAAAAAAGATATTTTATCTAATAATTTCATATAGGTAAAATTTTTATCAGATATCGAATTAATTCAGTGTCAAAAAAGTTACTTAACATGTTACTTGAAAAACATTTTAATGAAATGACTTAACTTTTCATTCTAAATAGTAACTGTTACCTTCACATTACAAAAAAAAAAAAAACAGTTCACAAGTGATGTATTCCTCTAGTATATTATATTGTTCTTTGACAAGCAACGTTTGTGGAATTATACGTAGGTATGGTAGATACAATTAAGATAATAATAAATATTTAACAAGTATAGATCTAGAACATCCAACAGTTATTAATTTAGAACTTATCGAATTAACTTTTTGGCATATTTCGTCTTAAGTGAACACCTTTTTTCTTTTTTTAATAAATTGTATGTAGTTAGGTATAGTGAAAATGATGATCAGATTTAGTTTCAATAGAAAATTTCCATATATATATATTTGCAGTATACTCAATAAGTAGGTATATAAATTAGATATATAATATTTTTTAATTTACAATACTTGAAACAGTAACGTGATGTATTATAGAAATTAGGTATCAAAAGAAATTTGCATTAGGTTACATATTTTCGCTACATGGAAAACCTTCCAAAGAAATTACCTTATGCGGAACAAATTAAGTAACGTGTTACTTTTGTTACGTCACTATCAAACAATGTTAATATTGTTCATTATAACTTCATCAAAACTGTATACTTGTATTTGTATACTACATAAATTTAATTATTTTTCATTCTTATTTAAATCCATAAATTACAATCAAGGCTAAATAATATATTCTACCTACAGTAGATTTTGGACTTAAAAAAAAGTTGAGGAAGTAGGTACCAAGTAATAACTTATTTTGTCGAAAAGTAGGTATAAGGTAGTGTTTGGTTCCTTGGTTTTAAAAATGCTAACATTTGATGCAATGGTGTTGAATTATTGAAGTGCATACAAAATGTGTAGTCTATAAGGAATAATCAAGTTAAATAATTTAATGTGCATATTTTAAGCAATAGATAATTGTATTTAGTTTGAAGCAAAATTAAAACATCTTCGTTTTTAAATAAATTTAGACTCAATTTTAAAAGATAGGTTCCTAACCTAATATCTGGACCATGTGACATGAGAAATTTGGAATGCGAAAGTAATACATTAATGCTGATTAGTTTCTGGATAATATTGATATATTTTATGTACAAACAAATACTATTCAACTTAATAAAACAACAGTATACATAATATAAATAAAAAAACAAAATTATATTTTAAAATTTACCTTAAACACGAAGAGAAGACAGCCCACACGACGACGTCGAAAACTAGAGAGTGTATAAGTTTATCGTACAATCACTTTATCCACTGTCACTCGTGTTTGCCGTTCCGAAATCGAACCCAAACAAAACACGACGCCATTTATATGAAAAATTTGATAAGAGATCCTACAAATTGTAGATAACAATATGTCAAGGAGGATAGACACAGTTTTTTCTACCTAACTTTAAAATACAAAACTTCAAAAATAATTTTAATACATTTAATTCTTCTTAAACTATTGTTGAAATTGAAAACAATTAAAAAGAATAGTCGTTATGCAAGTAAAAATATATGTACCCATTTCGGATGTAAAATTAAAAACCCAATTTTGAATTTCACACCATAGCCATTGCAACACTGTAACAAAACGTCATTTACTCATTTATTTTCTGATAAAAATTTTAGAAAAAAATCAATTTTATTTGTGTTTTGTTATTACGTCCGATTATTATTTGTGTCGACAGTTATAAATTATTATTTTTTTGCGGGCGCACACGGAGAACAGTGATCCAACGAGTTGGTTGTATTTCTATTGCCGTCATTATTTTATTATATTCCAACCAATTGCTATAACATCGTTTTAAGTTTATTGAAGCAGTTATACCAAATCGTTCAGGATGGCTACATTGCCTTCCCCAAATGAAGTGAGAGAAATAATTAATAATAAATTTAATTAGAATGGTCTCTTTGAAAGTGAGAAAATAGCTGTTTACCTAATCAATTTTAAAACTAGAATATTTTGTTCTAAATTAAATTTTATTGTGATTTTATAGTGTTTTGTGTTGTTAAATGGGGTGAATTGTTTACTACTTACTTGACTCCACCCTAAAATCAATTTATTAATAATATGTATTTGTATTTTATATCTTATGATTGTCAATCATCAAGGTTATATTTTGAACCATTTTTATTAATGTTCAATGTTAAATATATTTTATCTCGTATTTTATGCTTAATTGTAGGTAGCTGGAAGTCACTTCCCAATTTATGAAGCACTTTATAATATGGTGAGTAACTACTATAATTTAAAATAGGAATGAAGAATTAAGCCTTGAGCTCAATAACTTTTAAATTCCATTTTATAAAACTGCTGTACGAGCTTAAATTTTTTTTGAAATCTGTTGATATATTATTAGATATGTATTTGTGTATATTATTACAAAATAGTAGTAATATTTTTATTTACATTTACCTACTTAATTTTAAAATATGTTTTACAATTTATTGTCCTGAAAAGTTTTGAACAGAGAATTATCTGGTTGATGTGACTAGCCCTTCATATTTAAGTCTCATACATTTTTGAAATAATCAAAGCATGTGTTATTGTGTAGGATTTACTATACCTATTTTTAATTTTCTAACCTTTTTTTTTAAATAAATTAAAATAATAGAAGAGAATACAATATACAATTGTTTTTCAAAATGTTTACTCATATAATTATAGTACTAAAACAAACTTCCAAAACTTAGCATTTTAAAATAAATATTTATTTATAAGATTGAGTTTTAAAATAAATTCAACTTTTTATTCTATGTCTAAGAAGTTTAAGTTTAATCCCTTCTTGTGATGGTAATCTATAGACATTTATTTATACAACAAGAGTATTTAATGGTATTCTCCTTCCCAATTATCTATTTTTATTTTTTTAATAATATTTATAAGTTATATATATTAGCATTATTTTTGTTGTAATGTAGATATCGATATTTGACTTATTTGTATTTCATAATTATCTGCATAACATTAGATGATTCTAATTATATTTTTTGTTTTTAGGTGGATCCTACAAATAAAGGAAATATTGGAGCAATGGATGCAGCAAATTTCCTTAAAAAGTCTGGTATATCACAAATTATACTTAGTCAAGTGAGTTAATTGTTTTTATGCTTATTAGTTAGTATATATTTTTAAAAAATAAAAGTACCTAAGTAGTAAGTACCACCTGTAATAATGTAAAAAAATATACCACAATTTTTTTTACATGTTTTGAAGATTTGGGATTTATCAGACCCAACTGCCAAAGGTTTTCTAACTAAACAAGGATTTTTTGTGGCACTTAAACTGATAGCATTAGCACAAGCTGGACGAGAAATATCAATGATGAACATCACTCAACAAACCATACCACCTAACATGGTATAAGTCAAATTATTGACTGGCTGTATGAAAATAATTTTAGATTTTTAATTATTTATATTATAGGGCGAAGCATCAAAACAAATAGCAAGTAAAATCCTAACTGCAGGTTTAGTTACTACTGTTACTAATATGAATGACTGGTCAATGAAGCCTTCAGAAAGAATGAACTATGATAAAATGTTCGAATCATTGAGGCCAGTAAATGGAACAGTTGCTGGAGATAAAGTAAATAGCATAACATAATATATTAACTGTAAATTTTTATTATTATCTCTTTTTAGGTTAAGGGATTGCTAATAGATTCCAAACTATCAGTAGACACTTTGGGAAAAATTTGGGACTTAGCTGATATGGATAAAGATGGAAAGTTAGATCAACATGAATTTGCTGTTGTATGTATTATTAAAGTATTCACTATTAATCTAACTTATCTGAATGAAAACAAAATGTATTTTTAGGCAATGCATTTAGTTTATAAAGCATTAGAAAAATATGCTATTCCTAGCGTTTTACCTACCGAGTTATTACCTCCAGCAAAAAGAAAAAGTTCTACTATGGCTAACTCACCTGTACCTGTTTTACCAGTGCTTACTTCTGGTGTTACTTCAAATCTAGTCAAACAACCACCAAAAGTAAGTTTTTGGATTAACCTAACAAGTAAAAACCAATAACTATTCATAACTATTTGGCTAAAATACATTATTATACTTGAGGCGTTACGTGGCAAAGTCAGCAATCTCCACTTTTTTTGAAATAAATGTTTTGACCATATTCATATAATATTTTTTACTCTGCGTCGATTGGTGATGCTGATTTTTATCACATATAATCCCCAATCGAGATAAAACGTTTTAATACTAGCTGATCGCAGTCTCTCATTGCTGAGAGCAATCTCCAATCATAATACCATATAATACATGTTCTACGTTTCTGTGGCAAATGAGGCAATCTCCATGCGTTTCTGTGACAAAAGCGTCAATTTTCGTGGGTTCCGCAGCAAATTTGACAAAGTCCATTTTCCCTCCTTTATTATTTAATGTTATCGACATTTAACAAATTACATGAACAATCAACGAAAATAAAATATCATGGAAAAATAAAAGAAATAAAGGTAAAACAGTTTTTCGAAATTTACCAAAAGTTCCTGCGTTTGGAGATTGCTGACTTTGCCACATGATGCCTCACTTATACAAATTAAAATATATTTTATTTACATAGAAATTAAAAATATTTGTATATTGTACCTATATCATATAATTTTGAATTGTGAAGACTTAGTAGTTTGGTATTAACAAGAAAGTATTGATAAATTTTCATACATTTCAAGAATTAATAAACATTAAGTTCAGAAACATATATTTAGAATACAAATTTAAAAAGTATCTAAAATTGTTAAAAGCAATTCTCCCATTAATTTTTTATACTTATATTATGATGCTATATTTTTTTCATACATTTTTAATAAAATATGTGATGTCTCACTTTCATTATAGTCTATCATATAATAACTCTATATTTTAATGAGAAAAAATTAAAAAAATTAACTTCCAAGATAATATATTGTCTGACAAAGGGTAAAAGTGAGCTATTTTAGTTGCAAACCAAACCACAAATGCCACACAAGATATGGGTAATTAGTAGGGCTCGGATGTTGTTGCACTAAAAATGTTATAAAATTAATTGCATTATTGCTGTGAAAAAAACCCAAAATTGCACTTAAAAATTGCAATAAAAAATATTTTGTGCCAAAAAAATTAAAAAAATATATTAAAAAATTATTTTATGAAATGGATTAAGTCATTTTATTAAGTAATATTAAAAAGTTTTATTAGGTAGGTTTTAAACGAGTAGATAATAAAAAAGATTCAAATTCAAATTCTCGTCAGTTGTCATTAAAAATCTGGTAAATTGTCCGGTCTTCTTGTTTTTTCAGAAACCTATAAATAATTTTATCAAAATTTAAAACTTTTATTTAAACTATTTTTATTTTTTTTTTAAGTTACCGCCGACGACGACGGTCAAATAAGCCCGACATAACCATAGATTAAACCTGTATAATCTAACAAAAAAAAGTGAAAATACAAAAAAATACATAAAATTGTATTGAAAATGACGACAATCAATAAAATTGAAAAAAGATCAAAAATTGCAAAAAGTTGCACTTAAATTTTTTATATATTAATTGGTACTCGTTTGAAACAAATTTATAACCTACTTGGCAACAAATCCGAACAATAGAAAAAAAGTTGCAAATGCAACAACATCCGAGCCCTAGTAATTAGTAATTACCCCTAAGTCTGAAAGTACCTTTCCACACGAGCCATGCATACTACTTTTTTGGTCACACCTCTGAAACCACCGCTATCAAAATTTTGGAAATAATGAACTGTGAATTGAGTTAGCATTCTAGGGTTAATAAATTTTTTTTAAATAATGCTTAGTGAAATTAACTTAAGATGAAATGGTGTTAGGTATTTTCTATAAATTGTGTCACATTATATGAGCTTGAACATATAAATTAGTAATTAAAGATAAGAAAGTATATATATAATATATGAAATGCAATTTAGTCATATTATATTATGGACTACATAATATAATAATTTATATATAATTAAGCTGTCAATACAGATTTTATTATTAATCAAATATTATTCTACCTTGAATTATCAATTCTTGTACTTTTAAACATTGTTTTAAAATTTAAACTTATTATCTGAGTTTTGTATAATCAATGGATTTTAAAATTATGTTTAAACCAATGTTTAGAGACCAATTACTCCATCTATTGGTTTAGTGCCATTACCAGCTACATGGGTAGTTACTGTAGAAGAAAAAGCCCGGTATGATTCAATGTTTTTGGAATCTGATGTTGATATGGATGGTTTTGTATCTGGACCAGAAATCAAAGATAGGTTTCTTAAAACTGGTATTCATCAATCTATATTAGCCCATATATGGTAATTTTTAGAAATTAAGTGATAATATTATATTTATTAAATTTATTAATTATGAATATTCTAGGAGTCTTTGTGATATTAATCAACACGGGAAGTTGGATATGAATCAGTTTAGTCTTGCTATGTGGCTAGTTGAACGTAAACTCAAAGGGATTGATCCACCAAATACACTTTCCCCTGAAATGGTTCCTCCAAGTAACAGGACTAATACTCCATCAAATGCTGTTCAAGTAAGAATATTAATAATTATTAATTCTTTAAAAAAAAACATGTTTAATACATTTTATTAATACTTGGAATATGCTGCTTCTCTATCAATAAACATTTTTAATCCAATCCATACAAAAATCCCTATGACAACAAAAACCGCATAAATATATACATCTTTTTGATTTGAAATGTTTAGTTCTTTAATTAATTTTATCTCGACTATTCCAGCTAGATCATCAACTTGCCAACATCTAAAAATTGAAAGGTTTCATATTTCATAATTATTACTGTTTACAAATATCGGTGATCGTTTGTTACCGCCCAGCCACCGAGTTGTATATGATTTATCAACCTGTCACCAGTTGGTGACCTTACATCACCAGTCTTTACCTAATCTATATTCCAAAATGTTGATATTTATCTGCATATTAAAGATATCTTACGTTTAGGTTAGTCTAGTATGTGATCTATTTATGGAAAAAGGATTAATACTATACTCAGTTCCAAAAGAGAATATAACAGTTCTGCGCACTTTTTTCTCCTTCCAATGGTCACTACTTATGCTGTTATGTTGGAGATGCGTAATTGTCGTTTTATTGTAGGCAAATAATTTAAAGTCTTATCTTACAAACATTTGCTTATTATAAAATATTGTCAAAAATAAAGTTTATGAGTCATTTCCCTCAATAATTAATAATGGCATTCAATTTTTACAAGAAAAATATATTGTTCAAACAAATATAATGTGTGACATTTAAGGATCTTTATAAAACTCTCTTATTTTTTTTACATGCAATTACTTTGGGATATTAATAAAATTATCAAATATGCTATCATTAATTTTAAACAATTAATTATTATCATTTATTTTTATTTAAAAGTTGTGTATTGTATCGTTTAAAAAATTGTGTAGTACAGTGGACACTCGACCCGGTGATTTAACGGCAATAACAAACAACCACAATATTTATATTTACGTAAATATTTTTTCATCTTCTTCAGTAGTATTTTTAATTGTTAGTCTATTTAATATATCAACTGTTATTCGTTCATTGGATAATAAAATAATCTGGTTATTTACCCTCCATTCATATGGGGCATCTAAATTTAAATTCCTATTTTTATATCAAAAGTTAAACTAATTAATACGGTTTTATTTTAAATATAATTAATAAATTAATTTGATTCCTAACCCAGGACATGTAATAGTTAGTTGTTCATTTAAAAATGTAATTATCACTGAAGTTTCTACTTTTGGTGGCAGTTTAGGTATTATTTGTAATGCTGAATATATACCAGCAGAATTGTTTACTTTTTCTTTTACATTCCCCTGTATATCTTTTATCTCAAATACATCATTGTTATTACATTTTACCTTGAATAAATAAACTAATACAAATTGAAATTTCTTTGTATATCACATAATTATATTACTTGGCAATGTTCAATCATTACTCTTATTGCTTCATTCATTATTGTAATACCATAATAACCATATAAATCTAATAGACTACTTTCACATGGTAAACCAGTATCAAAAGCAGCCATTAATCTTTGTAAAACGTATATTTTATTTCTGTTGTTTTCATTTTTAATATTTACTTCATTAACAATATCGTCTGTACAATAATGTACAGATTGTAAATTTTCAATAAACACCATTTAAAAAAAAAAAAAAAAAAAACAATATCGTCTATAATTAAAAAAATCTTAGTTATTTATTTTAGTTTATTTTTTTTTTGTGTTTGAAGGAGATAAAATTTATGTGTGAATTTTTCTAGGTAATTGAAAATATTTGCTTCATTAAAAAGTTAATTTATAGGTGTTCTTAAATCATTGTAGCGCATATTAAGCAAAACAATAAAAAAAATAGATTCTTATTTACCTTTTAATGATACAATACAATGACCAAATTTAATTTTTTTACCCATCACTTCACATTTGCTACATAATGACCATTCAGTCCATTGATTCCAAATTTTCAAATTTACATCCTCTATACTTCTGTTTCCACTTGTTGTATAATTAAAAAAGTTGGTATTGTTCTGTTAAAATTATTTTATACATTTATATTTATATTATTCAATAATGAATTTATTTTTTATCTACTTACATCAATTATTAGCTCTTTATTATCATTAATAAGTTCAATAAAATAAGGCCCCGCTTCACTATTAGATAATTTACATTGATAGAAACCACTTTTAGATTCATCCATATTTATTATAGTTAAAGACAAGTCTAATGGTGAAACTTGAAAATAATCATTTTCTTTTATTAAGCTTAAATTATTTGAATCTCCTATCCATGAGTAATACCATACATTTTTGTGATATACATCATTAGGCGAAATACATAGTTCACATTCTAAGCTATTAATAATAAGGAAATTATTTTTAATTATATATATTATGCATATGTTTGTTAAAATCTGACAAACCTCACTACCTCAGAAGTTCCTGTCAAAACACGAACTGCGGTACTTTATTAAAATGTCATATTTTGACTTTTGCCCGAGAAAACCTAGTTATGACCAACATAGTTTTGAGAAAAACCGTAGCAATTGAATATTTCACAGTAGGTACAATGTTTTTTTTTGTATTACATATAAATAACCATAAAATAAATACTATAATTTATATTATACCATAATATTGGTAGTATTGTATTGTTCATTTAAAAAAAAATAATTAATTAAAGAATTCACAAATTAAAAATGATTATCATAACTTGATTATAATATATTATATTAAATTTACAATAATAGTTAATTTAATAATATAAATAACAAAAATATATTTTAAATATTCATAAAGATATTTCATTTATTTATTTACATTAAAATAATATAATTTAGGACTCCTGCTGTAGTATGATCCCAATTAGATCATGTGTGTACTGTGTTACTATATAGTATACACCAATAGTATAAAGATTAATCATTGTTCAATTGATTTGACAACACAATCAATAGGATAAAAAATAGTTTTTTATAATTCAATTGTAATAAAATCCAACTATTTTCATTATAATTGTTTCTCACAACGGTTTTTCCATTGCCAAACCAGGGGTATGAAACTCCGTGAATTGGCCTAATCAGGCAATTGTGGCCTTGAACACGGTTTATAGGGTGACGTGGTATACGTGAAATAGGGAATGGTAAACAAGCTGACCCGCCATAGTCTTGGAACCGTTTTCATAATATTGGTAACCATGGGTCTAACATTATGTTGATGCGTGGAACCGTTTTCATGTTTTTTGTAGGTTCAGACTTCAGATCATAGGTAACCAAGACCCCAATCAGTTGATCGAGTTTCGCTTCTATATTGTTCTATGGCCAAACTAATTAATATTTTGAACACAACTAGCTGTTGTTGGCTAGGCAAAAGAAAAAATATGACTTTGCCCAAGTAATGTGGATAGTTTGTTTTTTGTCCAGGTGTTTCTGAGGTTAACTCGCTTTTGTAACATATTATTATACTATGTGTTGTAACATTTATTAAGAATTAAATTAAAATTAAATGTATTACCTTAAAGATGAGCTTCTAAATGTAGTTATTACTTTTGCTTGGAAAATATTATTTTTGTTAATACTTTTAAGAAGCTCTTCTAAACACTTATAATACAAATCCCACAGTTGTTTATTTTTATTTATTTTTATAATATCGTTTCCTGGATAGTCAAGATAAGAACCTGGTTTTGGCCCTACCTGTGAAATTCCACGCGTTTTATTCCAACTTTCTTCTAGAATATTTTTAGTTTTTTTCCTTAAATTCGTCCATTTTGATTTTAAATCAATAGATATTATTTTTTCTGAAAATATTAAAATAAGTATTACTGTATAAATTATCTGTAAATATATCATTTTAAGTTAATATCTTTCTTGATTTATTGTTATGTTTAATCAGAGTAATTTAATTTGTTTAATTAAACAATTTTAAAATTAGCTCTAGTAACCAAAGCTAGTAAATAACATTGTTTATTTGTTAATTCCCTTACTTATGGCTGTTATGAAAAAATACACCACTCAACACCAATTACAGTTTCTCCCACAGCTATGTGTAGTACTCTTTTTATATGAGACAAATCAGTGGTCCTTAATTCTAAACCTTGCTTTCCTAATTGGGGTCGTTGTGGTATTTATAATGGGCCCCAAATGCATAATTTACTTGATATTATTATTTCAGCATGATTTGTATATTATATAATTTAAAATGGTGTTCATATTTTTTATTATTTAAGGGTTCCGAAAAATGAAATTTAAAACTTTAGTGTTAAGCTCATAAAAGGTTGAGAACCACTGAGATACAGTATTGTGGATTTTTAAATTATAAATTATATTGTGCAAATAAAATTGGATGTATTTTGAATAATGATTATATTTTCTTAAGATTCTAGAAAAGCCTCCAATGTATTCAAATCCGGAATTGGATATGATTCAAAAAGATATTGATGAACTAGTCAAAGAAAGACTTATTCTGGAAACAGAAATTGCTCAAAAAGAAGCTGATTTGAAAATACGTTCTGGCGAAGTTAAAAGTTTACAGGTAAATGATTTTCTTTTTTTGTATGTGTTCATTTAAATTACCTTATTTTTCTCTGCCAATGACTTTTAACTTGGGAGGGGTAGAGTATGTCAGCACACTAGTCCCCTTCTCTAAGAAGACAATTTTCACGTCACTTCAGTGGACTGCGTCTAGTGTGTCATGGCAGAGCAATAAGGTTTGAATCATTGACTGCTCCCATCATGGCCAGCTGTGTGAAAATGTATTCTGATTTAAAAATTTGAAAGTAATATTGTTAAAGAGTATTTTTAAAACTGAGTAGATAATTGAAAAATATGAAAAACATTATTAAATCAATACACTCATAAGGATGTTATTAAAATATTATACATTTTCATTGATTTTTATTTAGTTGTAAAAAAAGTTATGTATCTTTTTCATTTCTTATCTTTATGCTTATCATGTTATATAATATATAGTTTTGTTTTAATTCGTACTCATACCATTATTATTCAATACAAATGTGTTTTTAGGGAGAACTAGACACCTTGTCTGCTACTCTAAAACAATTAGAAAATCAAAAAGGCGAAGCTCAAAAACGACTGAATGATCTTAGGAACCAGGTAACTTAGATTTTAATCTAAAATGAATATACTAAACCAAAATATAACAAGTAAAAATTAAATAACTGATTAGCATTATGTATTATTTTTTATTATTTGATTAACACTAAGAATGCATATTACTAATTCATAGTCTAAACATTTTGAATTTGTCTTGCATTCTAGTCATGTACACTGATTTTACTGATTGTCTGCTTATTAATTTATTATTTTTATTCCTCCTTTTAACTTGCATGTGCATATTTTCACAATTTTAGACTCTGTTGGTAGAATATGAAATAATCAACATCAATCAGAAAATTAAGGATGAACAAGTACAGGTATTTTATCCTAATCCTTAGCTTTTTTCATCCAGCTTATTTTTATACTTTACTGCATGTTTTTTAATAAGACTACTTAGAAGTTCTATGATACAAGGTAAAAATTAATTATGGGGTAAATTGTGGTTTCCTGTTTTTTCTATGGTTAATACTGGAAAATAAAATCATGGTGGCTTACACTGTTTTCATATTTAATTATTATTAATTTATTTAATTAGGTACAACCTGTACAGTAAAATTTAACTTATTTATAATAACTATTATAAATAAAAAGAAATATATAATTATGTTGCAACTATTGACCTAATCATCAGTTTTTGGTTGTTTCATAGTTCTCATAATATTTAAATCGGATCAGTATGTGTTTATTAGTTGTTCGTTTTAGATTCTGAGTGAAACGATGAATGTATTGATTTTACAATGATGTGTGTTTTTTTATTTTTTTTTTTATTTTTTTTTTATTTTTTTATTTTTGTGTCTGTCATCACGTTTTAGGACAGTAAAAGTGCTTGGATTTTCTTCATCAGTAGCTTTTCTGATAGGAAAGTGAATCTAGTTGGTACTTTGGGGGGTCAAAAGTATAAATTTCCCAGTAGTTTTCACAAGCGCCGGGAAAAACAACATAAAAATTAAGGAAAAACGGGAATTTTTACGCAAAATTGGTTTTCCAAAAAATCGATTTTGGTTTTTGGTGTAACTCTGAAACAAATGAACGTATATACATGAAATTTTCACTGGTTGTTTATATTTGCATTTTCTATACACGATAACATTTTCAAAATATTTTGATTTATTTTGAACTGTTTAGGGACATTTTCATTTTCCATTTTTTTTTAGTTTTTTTTCTAAAAATATCAATAAAATTTTATTTGTTGGTTGCGAAAGCTTGAAAATTTAATAGAAGGCTCCTAATATATTGCTTCAAAGGCAGATGAAAAATATTAAAAATCCTTAGTCACAATTTTTTTTTATAAGCATTTAAAGTTCAAAAATTGACAAAATATGGGAAAATCACGAAAATTAGCAAATTATTTTGAGTTAAGAATTCGTAAAAATTTTTCTTTTTAAATCTAAGATTTGAAAATTAAACACAAGATTCCTTATAAGTTTGTCTACCTTTATCAAAAGAAAAATGTTTATAAGAAAGTCAAATTAAATTTTTATGAGCGTTTGAAATTCAAATTTTTACAACATTGAATATTCACTCGATTTCCCATGTAGCGATTTCCTTATTTTGTTGTAATTCAAAAACAAATAACTGTAGATACATGAAAATTTCACTGAATGTTTAAATTAGCATTTTCTATACACCATACAATTTTGAAAATATTTTGACTCTTTTTGAGCTGTTTATGGACATTTACAGCTTTCAATTTTTTTTAGTTTTTTTTTCTATAAATATCAATAAAGTTTTATCTGTTGGGCCAAAAAGTGTAAAAATTTAATACAAGGCTCCTGATATATTGTTATAATATCAGTTGAAAAATATTAAAAATACATAGGCACAGTTTTTTTTATAAGCATTTAAAGATCAAATTTTGACAAAATTTATCAAAATCTCGAAAATTATCAATCATTGTAATTAATAAATTATAAAATGTTCAGTTTTTATAGCTAAGGATTGCAAATTCAACACAAAGGTTCTCGTAAATAGTTCATACTGTAACCAAAAATCTAAAAAATATATGAACACAGTTATTTTTTACAGACATTTTAAATTCAAATTTGGACGAAATTTCATATTAAAAAACCTAGAATAACTATTTTAGTTATTTTGTTGTGATTGAATAATATTATTCGTGGATACTTGAAACTTCTAAAGTGTACTTTTATATATCTATGATAGTATCACGGTTTTTGTTGATGTATAACGCGTTATAAGTACCTAATGGATATTTTGATATGATTAATTTGGAATTTATTATAGGTACCCATTATAGGTCAATTTTTTGTTTAATACCATAGATATGTATATAATATGTCTTATACATAGACTGACATACCGTCTGCGCTCAGAATCGTTTTTCTTATACAATGATATTATATCGTTGAATTCAAATTTTTTTTTTTTTTTTTTTATTAAACATCGGATGGACAATCAAGTTATAATTTATGTTATGATGTATTTTTAGTATTTTTTTAAGCACTTATTTGTATGATAGGAAACTACCAACAATAATATCTTTCGGCCCATGGGTATTCCTACCATTATATCTGTTATGAAAGAATATCGGGACGGCTAATTTTCCCGAAATCAAACTTTAATAATTTATGTTAAAATATTGCCCCTTACTAAACATTTCTAGTAGAAAAACAATAATGTTTTAATAAATGATAAAATAATCAAGCTAATTATTTGATTGTTTGACAAAATCTATTTAAAAATTATTTTCCTGGCTTCATAACGACAATTATTGATGATTATAAGTACTCGTGGTTTTTCTGTTCTCCCACAACTGTTTTTATTATTACTTATCACTAAATGATAATTTTGTTGGTTACTCATTCCAATTTGTAACTTTGAGCTAGTTTTTGCATATGACATACAGTGCTGACCATAGTCTGTGGTATTCTAGTTGCAAAAAACAGTGTAATGAAACTGATGGTTGACCGCGGAGAAGTGGTAGGTACGATTTTCTAATATAAATGTAAAGTAAATGTTTGTCCCGGTTAACGTAAAATAAAATATGGCAATCCAAATCAAAACTAAATTCTATGCTACGAAGATTTCAGTATGACATTTGTAATCTCAGTGAAACGCATATGAACTGGAACAAAACCACTCTTTGAATCTCTTGTTCTGTAGTCCAATTAAATTAGCTCAACATAATCTATTACTAATTGTATTTTCATTTGGTCTGAATTAATTTTTAGGAGTTAGGAGCCACTTTTTACCCTTATTCACTATTATTTATAGTAAATTAATAAAATATATTATTACATTTTATTCAATAGGTAGACAATCTTCGCAGACAAGCTGATGAGCAAGAACTTACATTAAAAGTGCAAGAAGCAGATCTTTCTTCTAAAAAACAAGAACTTGAAGAGCTTAAGACTCTAGAACATAAACTTGAAAAAGACCAGGCTGAAATGGGCAAAAGATTAGATGAGCTGAACAACATGTTGCAAAACTCACAACTACAAATAAGTCAGGTAAAATTAATTATAGAAAAAATGTTTAATACATTTTTTAATGTCATAAGTTTCATTAGTTTAAGAACAAAGTAAATCAATTGGAGGAGAATAAGCGTCAAATGGAAGATACAATTGAGTCCACAGAAAAAGCGTTGGCTGAAGGAAATGTTTATGCCATTCCAGATTCTTTATTAACATTTAATTTAGAATTCCGGGATCTTGAATGTAGTAGACTTCTAGGAAAGATTGTAAGTTACTTTTAGTAAAGAACATTGTCTAGTTGTTAGTATTTATTTTTAGTATTATCTTATTCCTTACATATTTTATAGGTTGATAATAAAAATTCTTTTGAAAATGTAAATGGTTTTACTCCAACAAACGGAACAAGTGGATCACGTGATGAAAATTCATTTAAAACAGGTAATTAACACAATCAAGTGTTTTTTGTATTTTGGAGTTATTTAATTGCTTAAAATTTGTTCATAGATTTCTTCACAAATAATGATGCGTTTTCCACAAACAATAAAGCGGTACATACAATTATTTAATTATAATATTATGATACAATTCTTGACCTATTTTTATTATGCTATAGGGGACTTTTTCAAATGATCCATTTACTTCATTTGATGATTCTAGAACTAGAAGTAAGTTTATTATTTTTACAAAATATATCACCTTGAATTATTATGTTGTACAATATAGTATTAATTTATTGTCATATTATTTATCACAATACATTTATTTTTAGGTCAAAGTACAGATCCATTTGGGGGTGAGACAAATGTATCCAAATTGTCTGATGTAAGTTACTTATTCTTATATAATCTAACAAATTAATTAATTTTATAAATAACTATATTTATCACATTAAATTAATACTTGTTTTAAATTTAAAGAGACATGAAGATAAAGACGAGTTTGGTTGTGATCCTTTCGCAATACTACACGCCCCAACAAGACCAAGTTCAGCACCACCTCCACAACGGCCTGAAAGCCCCACTCCAGCACTTCCACCTAAGAAAGGAAAACAACCACCACCAAGACCTGCTCCACCAAGGCCCGCACCATATCATGCACCAACATCTCACAACAGTTCTTCAACAAGTTCAGAGTTTGCCGACTTTGCAAATTTTAGCAGCAAGGTAATTTACACAGGTTACACATATTTTCAATTCCTTTCTTAATTTCTTAGGTACTGGTTTGTTATTGCTTCACACGAATATGTGAACATTTTATTGTTCAGCCACTCAATAATATTCGATATATTGTGTTGATAATTTAGTCATTTTATGGTTTTTAAGAAAAACATACTATTATCATATGTATTATAGGCAGTGGCAGCATGATGCAGAATTTCTGGGTAAACTGTCCCATCTATAAACTGGTGTGTGATATATCACCTGTGGAACTACTGAGACTACTTTCCTTAGTGATTGCTAGTCTGTATATGTAAGCTCCGGTTTGGGTAATAGGTTTATGCTTATATACTATTTGACATTTGTAAATTATTATAGATGGCAGGGCGATAAAAAACCAGTATCATTTCTTATTATAACTGTCCAAAGTTACTATTAAACTACCTTCATTATGTTGGTTGAATGTTCTTTTAGATTATGTGGTAATATATATATTTTATCACTTTGAGTTTCTTTGAGGATTATAAAATTATTTTATCAGAATAGACAAAATCATTGGGGGAAAGTCAAATATTAAATCTTTTTTAAATTATTACCTGGTTATTTAAAATAAATTGATTTGTATTGTTAAATTATTATACAATGGTGAATAATATATTCAATAGGGGTATAATGTAAAAGTGATTATTGTTACATTAGTAGCTATTAAATGTGGCAAATAATTGATAAAGATATTGAATTTGGTTGTCTTCTAATAATCTAATAGATTATTTAAAATGTAATACATTTTAACTTAAATAATGATCAATATTATTCTGTGTTAGAATTTTTCCCCTATTCTAAAAATCTGATACATATAATATCTAGAGCTCTGAAAAACCAAATGGGTTAATGTTTTGTTACACATTAGAATTCTTTTAAATATTTTTAAGAATTTACTCCATCAAAATTAATATTATATACATATTCTGTGATTATATGAAAGTTACTAATACAAATGTTTTTATTTTTTCCATTTTTTTTTTCTATTTTTTTCCATTTTTTTTTCTATTTTTTATTATTTTTAGAAATAGATATGATTTTATTTATTTTTATTTAGGTTTTTATTTTTATCATTTTTATTTTTATCATTTTTTTTTTTATCATTTCTTTTTTTTTCGTTCCATTCTTAGTTTTCACAGAGTATCAAGACAGAGCCTAAATCAGTTTCACAATCACATAGTTTTGAATTCACTGAAGATCCATTCAAAGACTACAGATATGAAGATCCATTTAAAATTGATCCTTTCTCAGATACAGGATTTGAAACAGATCCTTTTGGTGATGGTGCATTTTCTTCAGACGAATCCCAAAAAGTTAATGTTAGTGATGAACAACTCGCATGGGAAGCCCAAAAGAAATTTAGAATGGAAGAAGAGAAAGCACGTTTAGAGCAAGAAAAAGCAGATTTTGAACTGGCCCTAAGGCTTAGTAAAGCCACTCCTTCTGATAATAGGTCAAAAATTTTACTATAACAATAGAAGTGTGTAAAATGCAACTACCAAAAATTAAACTTTGTATTAAAATAATATATATTAATTTATTAGTTATCTGAAACTGTAATAGGTACAATAATGTACCAATTTTATTTTTATTTATTATTTAAAACTGAATATCTAACACCATTCTACTCAGCAAATTGTAGTATTATATTTTGTTACATACATTTTTAACAAATTGTAATTATTTTAACCTCATAAAAGTCATACATTTTTTCAAGGTGATGTACAAATGATAATTTATTAGATAAATCTACAGTTCTGTATTACTTTCTAACCTTAAAAACAAGCATTATAATATGTTACATTTTAATTTCATATGGTTTTTTTCCTAAGTTTTCAAATGAAAGTTGGAACAAATACCTTGAAGTTAACTATGTATAAAATTAAAAAAAATATAAAAATTATTATAGTATTTATATGCTAGCACAATATGGAAGTTGAGTTGTTAGACTAATATTAGATTAACAATGAGTCCACATTTAAAGTACTTAATGTTGAGCACACTGCATATGTATGAATACATAATCTAGAGTATTTCTAATGCTATTTATAAAATTATTTTGTTACCATTAACAAATGTAATTATTTATGGTTCTAGACGGTATATTAAATCTAAATTAAAAAAATCTTTTAAAAAGTAAGTTTAAAACTATAAATGATTAACGATTATAATAAATATTTACAGAATTGTAGTTTAAACACCACTGCCCCATATCCTTAATACATATTATGATGTTACTATAATGAGTAACAGTATAATATTATAATTTATAATAATTACTGTTAAATATTTACCTATTAATAATTATCATTATCCTATTATTTATTTGTATCTATGATATTACCTATATGGAAATTGTAGCTTATATTGTTACCATGTTAATTGATATTTTTATCTCTCTTAATTTGTTATGTATGCTGTAATAATATTATTACATCACAGAATTCTTAACATTTTTCTTAAAAACTATAATCATAATAAATAATAATGTAATTTGTCACAAAAAAAACGAGTTTTAATCACAAGTATAATATTTACTTGCATAATAATTATTATGAATCAACGGCCATCAATTTTATGTTTTGTTATATTTTATACACTGTTGTTATTTTTAATTGTTGTTATGGAACATTTTTAGGGGCAAATTATGTAAAAGAATAATTGGTTTATTCTAAATACGAGCTTTTGAATGTATTTGTACATTTTTTTTTATATCTAGTAGGGAAGAGTATAAAAAAATTATATAATATATCAAACGTCTTCTATATCCTCCCAATAATTCTTTATTTAATATAAAAGTAAATAATAAATCATGATATTATAATCAATAACAAATGAAGTTAAAACGGCCATGCTTACCTCACATTTTCACATCTATATAAAATCCCAAGTAAAATTATTTTGTCTAATTTTCTTCTGTTGTCCTTTAATTTATATAGAATCGTATTATGTGACAATTATACAATAATGTTTAGCTGCTGTTTCGATACATTTTGTTATTTTCCTTGTCCTGTATAATATAAACTTTTATTTTTAAGATTTAGCTGATAAATTAATCGTTATTGGCTATAGTAGGATATTTTTTAGCATCATGACAATATGTTAATTGTTGGAAACTAATACTACTTTTCTGCATTCCATTCGTTGATAAATGTGTATCAAATCTAACAATAAAATTATTGATATTATTAATAATATTTGTTTTTTGTTATTGTTATAATAACCCGTTTCTAGAATTATCTATTTTTTATTTGTTAAAAGCTAATATTGAATTATATGTATTGACCAATGAATGTATGAGGAAATATTTCTTAATCTCGTTCCAGCAAAGTGTAATCTGAGTTATATACTTATGTATAATTTAATTCAAGTTTATAGAGTAAAAATAATAGGTGCTTACTCATTACTCATTAGGTTGTATTGTTTGTTATATCTTTAAGTTTGTACTTCATATTATAATACACTCAGTTCTCGTAGCAAGGGGGAGCACCTTTGGGTGTTTAAATTATTATTTTTAACTCATACCTATCAACATTATATATTATATAAAAATGAATTTAAGTTTGTAGAGGCCATAATACAGACTTGGAAACTACATAGGTACTGAACACATTGGCACTAAACTGAATATAGCTTCATTCTTAACCACCATAGGGTGACTCACACGGGATTTTCGTGTTGGCTCATCAAAATCGAATATTTTTTCGTTTGTATATATAGTTGGCATTGGTTACAGAAATAAAATAGATTTTATAGGTACCTAATCTACATAGTTAAAAATTAATATAGGTAGGTAGGTAAACCTATGTAAACTATGAGCTTATTACTAAACAACTAGGTACCCGATCTATTTTGATGAAAATGTCAGATATTATTCTTGGAGATATCAGGGAAGTATTCAGTGTAGAGAGTAGTTTTAAACACTTAAGACTAACCAACTGCTTTATCCGTTACAGCCTACAAGTGGATTACTTATCTCTATCAAATAAGGGAACGAATGCAGTTTAGCTCCCAAGCGATTTTTTGGAATTTTTTTTCTTCAAAATGTGTGTTTTTTGAAAGTACCATCAAATTAGGCAGGCATGCAAAAACACACATTTTGAAAAAAAAAAATTACAAAAAATCTAAACTGCATTTATGCCTTACTTTTTTGTAGTTGATATCACAAAATATTAATCTTGTAGCTATCTAATCCTATTATATATATATTATACACGGGATGTCGGGATAGTTATTATTTTAACATTACAGACACTAACTAAACATTTTCATTTTGAAAAATTTAAATTAACATGGGCTTGCATTCTTATATTCTATATTGTCCATATTTTGTCATCCCTATAACTGGGCTATAAGTCTGTATAGGTTAGCTCCAGCCAGGGCCGTATTTAAGAGAGGTTAACGGAGTCAATTTTTGACACTTTAGTGGGGCGGACAGGCGCCGGTGTATATTAAATAAATAACTTTTTTTTTTTTTTGATAAGAGTTTGTTTGAGAAACTATACTTGGAATTTTTGCATTGCATGACTATAGTATAGCCATCGTAAGAACGCTACTGGGCGGCGACCAAAATTCATCCGATCTCGCGCATTCCCACCACTAAATCTTCCCGAACGCTGGCCGCCGTCAACTCTGGCCGCCGCCACTGTCGCAGCCATCGCTACTGTCGCTGCCACTACTGCCTATTTACGGTGGCGACTAGATGGTAGAGTGGGAGAAACTTGGGTACGAAACTGCGGAGCTCGGTCATTTGGATGCGCGAACGAGTAGCGTTCTTACGATGGCTATACTATATACGAGCATTAAGGTACGGTGTCCAAGGCGCGGCTGGCCGCAGCGGCTGGCTGTCGCGACTGTCGCGACCACACTGTTTTTACACAATTCCTATGGACTGGTGTCCAATGAGCGACTGCGGCTTTGCGACTATGAATGGGCCGCTGCGACCCGCGGCTCTACTCACTCGAAAGCAGTGCACAGCGACAGTCGTCAGCGGCTTTTGCTATTTATATTTCAAATTTGTATACTATATTTTATATTATACTTTATAAACACCATGGCTGAATCACAAAACCTTTCAAAAGTTGTATTCTTGCCTGATCAAGAAGAGGTTTTGATTGAAGAAGTTCGTAATAATCCTGTACTGTATGATTTATCAAAAACAAGTCACAAAGACATCATTTTGAAAGATGAGATATGGAAAGATATTTCCATAAAAGTTGGAAGATCTAGTAAGTATTTTTGTATAATTTAAATATTCCAGTATTTTATAATGTACACACTATATAAAATGGTAACAATATATAACAGACAACAGTTCACATAAATTTATACTTGACTAAAAAATATGCATAATTAATAGGGCTTGTATATTTGTACAATTATTTGTTATTGGTGCCGTCGGTAAATGTGACAAAAGTCAAAAGAACAGCCAATATAGGTACTTGCAAAGCTAATCCCACGACCTGTTCGTGTAGATAAGGAAAAATAGTAGCACATAATAGCTTTGGTCCAGAGGCCCAATTATAATTTTTTAATAATAAAAATTCTATAATATAATAATTTTTTTTATTATACATTAATTTATTAACAATTGTTAGAATTTATTTGTTTAAATAATTGACAATGATTATATACGTTTGAGATCGATTAGCATTTTTTGTTAGAATTTTACGTAGGTACTACCTACTTATTTTATATGACGTACGTATAGGTACGATGATATACCTATGTCAAATAATAGGTACCTACAAACAATTATTTATGAAATCTGAATATTGGGAAAATACACTATGAAATATGAATAAACCGTGAACAGTGAACACTAGAAAGTTTCTATTTCTGTTTACAAGCATGTTGAGTTATTTTCAGAAATATTTATAAATATAATATGGCAAAAAGACATCTATAAATAATTTCAATAACATTTTTCATTGATAAAATTATATTTTATTACTTTAAACCATTCTTGATTTTGTTTTACGCATGTGATTAAAATGTTGTACAAATTGATGTAAGACAATTGTTCGTAAGTGAACCACCTATTTGAGAAACTACGTAAGTCAATAAAAGGTAATTCGGAGAAAACAATAAAAAACTGTTTTTACGCTACCAGTGATACATGGTGGATTATAAACCGAGAGGTCTAATGGAAAGAACTGGGCAAATTACACATTACGTTTATTCTAAGACACTTTTAGTCAGCCCTTGGAATTACGCCTACACAATATTATTATTAAAATATTATTTTAATTTTTCTTTAATAAACGGACAAAAAGGTTACTGCAATAAACTAATCTTATTGATTATTAAATATTGTTAAAATTGTATTGAATTTATAACAATTTTTAATGCATTATAAATATATTTGGGAGCCTTGTTTTTCAGCAAGACTACAAAAAAATCTCACCACTGTATAGTTACGATTTTGGCCATCACATCCGTCCAAAAATATATATCCTTTTTACCTTTTTGAATATTTAAACGTTATACAATTTTAATGTTTATTGTTATTATGCTTTGAAACGTTATTTGATTTTTTCAGTTTATCAATATTATGTTTTTAAACTTATTTACATTTTTTGTTTTCTGTTTAATTATTTTTTTTAAATTAATTATATTGTTATTTTCGGTATAGATAGGTCAGGTAATTAACCGCACTGTGGTGTAAGAACTATCAAATTAGTAGAATTATTTTTAGTAAGGGTAGCTATAACTTGCAAGTTAGTAAAATTTTAGGCGTCAAATATGGTTTAAATATATTTTGGCATAAAGACCATAAAGTAAAGATGAAATAATAGATTTTATTTAAAAAAATATTCATACCAAAAATTCAACTTGAAATGGCTTAATAATACTATATAAGTATTAAATTTAGTAGGTGCCTACACCAAATCACACGCTCGCAATTTTGTATCTTATTGAAATTTGAATCACAAAAATAAACTAATATTCTATTAAATTCAATATTTATTAATCAAACAGGGATAAAGTATTTCAAAAATATAAATTACTGTTAACATAGGTTTGCCAACTTTGCCTATACGTTTATCGTTTATTTTGTTTCATTATTTTCCGTTATAACATTATAAATAACGTTTTTATAAGCCATCAAGTTATTTTTAACAAAATAATTAAAAATGCATGACAATTTTTCTTTTTAAATCCAAGATTTGAAAATTAATACGTTATTTCTCTTTTATACTGATTAGTTACAATGGCGCCACAGTCTTAAAATTACAAATTTTTTTCAAATGTTCATAGAATATGCATCTATCATATTTTGTTAACACAGTTCTCGCATTATCTCAATTTGTGAAATTTTGTGACTTACGTCGTTTCTTAAATAAGTCATTGAAATAAAAAATAAAATATGCCTAATTTATTTCTTTATCTATACCTATACAATAGTAAAATTATTTATTTCAGTCGACGATTGCAAGAGGCGATGGAAAAATATAAAAGACACGTATAATAGAAATAAAAGGAAGTTAGGAACAGGATCTGCTTCATCATCTAAAAAAAAATGGATCTTGGCAGATCGCGTATCATTCTTAAACTCCGTGAATAATGAGCGAAGGTAAATAGTTATTTTTAAAACCCGTTTCACTTAAATATGAAACAATAATAGTTTCATTAATATTTTTAGTTCTACATCTAACATTGATACGCCACTAAATGAAGATGGAAGTGTTGGTACTGACGATGAGATTGATATTGATGATTCAAATAAAGATGATGTTGACTTACCAGGGTGCTCATTTGCGGGTAATCGTGCTAGATCAAAAACGGATAAGCTAGCCGCGATATTGGCAAAAAAAACTCAAGATCGAAACATGATAATCCAAAGCATTCAACAACAAAATGAACAACTTTTAAACGCCAATAAAAATGAAGAAGATGACATTGATTTATTTTTTAAAAGCATAGCTCTTACTGTAAAAAAATTACCGACAATGGGCATTAATGAAGCTAAAATTAAGACACTTATGTTTATAAATGAGCTTCAAGAAAAATATGCTAATCCTCCTCAAATTAGTGCGCCTAGCTTTTTTCCGATTCAAAACTTCCAACAAAACCAACAACATTACTACGGAGTTCCTAACACACAAAACATATCGCCGATTTCATACTCTGACTCAGACCGTTCTCAAACTTCATCGTCTACCATTTCATACACTACAGCTATCAACCCACAAGCCATCGCACCATCGCACTTGACATTCTCGCCTCAAAACGACTTGGAAAGTACATCTTCACCGGCATACTTCAATAATTCCAAATAATAATTCCGGATAGATTGCAGGTTAAATTTATAAAATTTAAATCTATCTTTATAATGCGTACTTATTATATTTTAATAAAAATACAGTTCCATTGTTACTTACATAATAATTTACATTTCTGTAATTTTTTTATATTATAATTCATAATAAAAAAAAAAAAAAAAAAAAAAAAAAAAAAATAGAACAAGCAGAAATAATATAATACACATTTGTCTACTTATTTCTATAGTATAGTGTTACATAATCATAAAATAAAATTATTAAAAAATATCTGTAATAACTGTTTTGTTTTCTCATATAGTATTTAATGAACATAATATGACTACAGTGTAATACCTACATTGTTTTATTATAACTACCTAATTACAAATATTACGTAGTTTAGTATATTAAGAATAATAATTATAAGTAAGTATAAAATGTATATAAATTATCTCTGCCAAGATACTGATCCTTCATTATTAAAAAATGTTTTAAATCGTTCTCTCACCTCGAATCCGTTTGCGTGTAAAAATCCACCTCCTCTACGTATAGGTAACATGCTGTTGGAAGGTAAGTCATGATCATGATCATATTCGTAGTATGGGCGTTTGTTATTTTCCAAATAACCATCCCTTAACATGTTATGTAAGATACAAGCTACCCATACCAAGTCGTCACAAGTCGACATTTCGAGGTTAATGGGTTGATAAAAAACACGAAAAACTTGGCTTAGCAAACCAAACGCGTTTTCAGTCACACGTCTAGCTCGACTAAGTCTATAATTGAATACCGTTTTTGTAGAATCGTCTCTGCTTGATTTTCTCGAGTAGGGTTTCATTATATGCGTGTGTAGACGAAAAGCTTCATCCCCAACGATTACATGCGGGACAATTATATCAGAACCTGGAAGAGAACAATCCTCTGGAAAACTAAATGATCCATTTAAAATCTGTTGCCCCATAATGGATTTGAGAAAAATACCACTGTCTCCTTCTTTCCCATACGATCCTATATCCACCACCACAAATTTACAGTTAGCATCGACCATTGCCAACAAAACGACGGAAAAAAAATCTTTATAATTATGGAATAATGACCCTGAATTATCTGGACTCCGAACTCTAATATGCTTGCCATCAATGGCCAGAATGCAATTGGGAAAGTTCCACTTGTAACAAAATTCATTTGCTTTCTTTTTGAAATCAACTTCACTTGGATCTGGTAAAAATATCGGTTTTAAACTTTTTTTCAAAACCAGTAACGTTTCCTTCACAATTCTGCTTATATATGTATGACATATTCGAAAACTAAACGATAGCGATCGAAATGACTCACCAGTAGCCATGTACCTGTTAAAAAATTATTTTTTACAAAGTATATTATGCGTATAAGGTAACAAATTAAATGAGAATGAGAATGTAAACAAGTGGAATAACTAAGAAAGTCGTATTAAGGTACATTATGTCCTAAAGTTTTATTATGAGAACTGAGAAGCATTATTATGTATACAGTATAGTTACCTCAATGTCAGTGACAGTTTTTCTGCTGCTGTAATTGGTTTTTTCACTCTGTTACTGGGTGGTTTAGTAAGTTCAATCGTAACTAACGATAATAAATAGTCGAACTGTTGACGATTAACCCGAAAAAACTCGCGAAATTTTGTTTCGTTATTTAATAAGTGTCTCTCAATTAAAATTTCAAAAAAACCTTCATTTGGACGACTTTGATATAAAATATTAGCTTTTTTTTTTTTTTTGGATTTAAGTAGGAAAATAATTTGTCTTCCTCTTCTTCCTCCTCCAATAAAAGCTGCACAATTTTATTGTTATTCATGATGTACGTATTGACCATATTGAATATACTGGTACAAACTCCACACAGAATAAATAGGTCTACACAGTACGAGCTCTAAAAGCACACTATTTTGACGAGCCGCAGCGGCCAGTCGCCGGTGTAGAACAACAGTCAGACATCGGCGGCTGATCACCACAGTAGTCGCAGCAGTAGCCGCGGCGGCCAGTCGCTGCGGCCGGCCGCGCCTTGGACACCGTACCTTTAGGCTTCATTTACTCGCCTGTCAATCAATGATAAATATTAATTTTTGTAATTATTTTATAGATTACATTTGTGTGTTGCCATACATTTTGACAATAATTATTAAAATAATGTATCATCATGATCTGTGTTCTTCACAAAAATTTCACAAAATTAAGAACTACAACTAAACAATTAAAAAATGGGTAAGTGGATGTCGCTTTGCTGTACACTAGGTTATAAGTGGATCACTGTAATGGATGGTGTTAAACTTGAATTCAATGATATAATATCATTGTATAAGAAAAACGATTCTGAGCGAAAACGGTCAGTAAGCCTATAATATTACTAAATACTTAATGCCTTCTACTTCAACTTTATAACAATATATCAGGAGCCTTGCATTAAGTTTTCCCGTTTTTTTTACCAAGCAATAACAATTTCATTGATATTTAAAGAAAAAAAAAACTATAAAAATTGAAAACTGCCAATGTCTGTAAACAGCCCAAAAACATTCAAAATGTTATGGTGTATAGAAAATTAAAATATAAACATTCAATAAAATGTTCATGTATCTACAGTTATTCGTTTTTGAATAACAATAAAATAACAAAACCACTACATGAGCAATCGAGTGAATATCCCGTATTGTAAAAATGTGAATTTCAAACGCTCATAAAAATTTAATCGGATTTGCTTGTAGACATTTTTTATTCGATAAAGGTAGACAAATTTATGAGGTATCTTGTATTTAAATCTTAGATTCTATGAATTCTCAAATCGAAAAAATTTCCTAATTTTCGTGATTTTTCCATATTTTGTCAATTTTTGAACTTTAAATGCTTATGAAAAAAAAACTGTGTTGTATTTGTATACTTGTTAGTGATGGGCATAATCGAGTGAAAATAATCGAGTTACTCGATTGTTGATAATAATCGAGATATCTCGATTATTAAAATAATAATCGATTATGTAACCGAGTGATTTTTCACTCGAACTATAGTAACTCGACTACTCGAGTACTCGTCACTCGACTACTGAGGTCGACATCATATATATTACTTTCTGACCTCTCCCAATAAAACCAGCCTACAACAAGCCATTTGTGTTTGGGCCTCCGCACAGATAAGAGGTTGAAGTTGTCTAATTCGCTGTGGTTCGAAATTCCTAGTATTTTTGTACTATTTATAGTCGATTTTCCTAATAAAACTAAGATAACCATATTCATTCTAATATATTATATTATTATGTAATTTTGTAGTTTTGTACTCGCTAGCACGCGTTAACAGTCGACACTGTTCACTAACTGGTCATCAGTCTTTAGTTATTTACCTATTTATTAAAAATAATTTATTTTTAAAATTTAAAAATGAGGCCGGGTAGTAAACAATTTATTAGTAACCATTATTATTTATGTCTAAAATAATTTGCCAGGTTGACGTTTAAAATATTTAAATAAAAAAAATTAATAAAAAATGAGATTATGATATATTATGCACATTTTTATTTCTATACCTACTATACCTACTAATAACAAACTAATAATATTCCAAGTTATCATATTTATTGAATATTTTGCGTAATTATTTCGATTGATGACTCGATTATGAAAATAATAAAATATGTATATCAATCACCTACTATTCGAGTAATAACTAATATTACTAATATCAATTGAAAATTTCGAGTGATTATTTCGAGTGATAACTCGATTATAACAATATCGATTACTAATAACTCGATTATAGAAATAATTCGATTATGCCCATCACTAATACTTGTATATGTAAGAGACGCGCTCTGGCGGACTGTGCCAAATAGACGCGTCGGTCTCTCTATGTGTTAGTGTGTTACGTAACTGTGTGTCTGTGTAGCTAACCTCATTATTCATTCTATCGACTATCCGTTGTGTGGATGTGGAACGTCTTGTTAGTGATATACATTTTAACATTTATACAAAGTTTTTTTTGTCGGTTCTAATAAAGTGAATATATATAATATATTATTATATATAATTAACATAACAATAGCGACGAACATATAAATAAACACGCACGCGTTGTGAAATTGACACGGGGACAATAACGTCCAGCCCGTCCAGGATTGAAACGGATGAAAAGCGGAGACATTGCGTCCATCTTTTATAATAATGGGGATGAAGGCAAATGCAAACTTAAGGATTCACATGATATGGTAAACGATTATATTAATTCAAATGGGTATTAGTTACCTTCATATGCGTGATTTAATAACATTATTTCTACCTAAATCCTGACTAAATGATAGTTATTTTACTGAACTATTTATCACTATTATGCCGGGTTGCATGAAACCGAACTTTAAATTTATTTAATGAACAGTTTTAACGAGCCGTTAAATATTTTTACAGAAGCGTTTGGGTTGCACAAATCGTACAATAAAAATATATTGGTATTAAACATGATACCGAGGTTAGTGTAGAAATTTAAGTTTATCACAGAAAAAGTGATAAAATCCTATGATCTAGATACTGTATCAACAGCTGTTTGAACTTTTAATTTTGAATATGTATAATAACAATAATTGCTAAATTCTACAAATTGTGAATTTGTAGTCTACTAGTCTGTACTTAATCTTTCTTCGGCGTTTTCGGTTCTGTTCATCAAATTCCTCCAAAGGATTTGATCGATCTCTAAATAACCTCGGTCTAGGTAAATGACACAAAATACCCAAAACCAATTCATCATCGGAAATCGATAAACTTGAATCAGAACTCGACATTTTTACTATTTTCGGTTATACCTTATAAGTATTAAGAAAAAAATTTAGTAAGTACGACCAACTACAGGGTAGGTATAGTGACGACGTACTACTGACACCTGAATACGTATGCGTGATAACTGATAACTGTAGGATTATCGAATGATTAAAATTTAAAGAGCCGAAATCGGCCCATTAGTTTAATGAGCTGGTAACCTATATTTTAACGGCCCAATAAAACTATTGAACGTTTAAAGATTGTTTAACAGATGATTAAAATTTTAATCATTCGTTAGCGCGCTAACGGCTCGTTAAACATTTAACGGGCGTTCATGCAACCCGGCATTAGTCAATAATTGTGAAGACACATTAGTTATAACCACGGATACTTTCAACAAAACTCACGTGAAGGAATATTATATAGTAACTGAATTTTTATCTCTGGCATATAATTACTTAATAAAAGAACCAGGTGAAGAGACGACCATGCCTATTTGGAAATATCAAATGGAGAAGTCTCCCCAACAGAAAAATACCGACGATCGTGGCATCTTTACATGTACCAATGCGAGATATTTTGTATTGGGGAAAAAACTCGAATTCTCACAGCCAGATTGTCAACTTTTACGAAAAAGAAGTGCCTATGAACTTGTTCACAGCAAACTTATTCAGGATCAGTCAACTAATCTTTAAATCATTAATGTTTTAATAACCTTCATTGTTAATACACACTATATTGTGTATTGTTTTAGTATGTAAATTTGAATTGTTAAAATATAATTATGTTTATTAATTTTGTTACCCAATTTACTACATCTGAATTTTCATTATTATGTGAAATGTTTTTAGTTTCTAATATTAACCGAGATAAACTGTCTGCAACAAGATTATCTACACCTTTAATAAATTCAATTGTATAATTGAAACCTGACAAAAAAAATGCCCACCTATAGATGCGACCAGCTGCCATCTTTGAGATAGTTTTGTCTTGCCCAAAAAGTGCTAATAAAGGTTTGTGGTCTGATTTAATAATAAGTTGTCTCCCAAGCAGATATTGATGAAACTTAGTAACAGCCCACACTATAAAAAGTGCTTCCCTGTGACCCTGTGTATAGAAGAATAATTTTTCTCTGTCGTTGTAAGGGAGCGTGACGCATATGAAATAGATTTTTCAACATTTTTTGCAAACCTGTGAGCTAATACTGCACCTATGCCAATATTTGATGCTTCAGTAGATAAAATTTTGATACATTCAAATTTAATTTTGAATAAGCAGTTAGTATTATTTGGTACTTTTTGGCTAGGTTCATTAATTTAAATGTTAACTTACTAAATTTCTTTTTTAATTAATGTGAAATTCATTTTTCATTTTAAGAAGTAAGTTAAGTTAATTTATTTTGTTTTTAATTTTATTATATTTCACTATTTCAGTCTATTTCGTATTCATGTCAAAAAATATTTACCGTGATATCATTGGAATCAAACTTATATGGAAATACTGTATAAAGTTTAAACACTAGTCTATAATACAGTTTTGGGTGGGTAAAAAATTAAGTACGCTATCATCACAGAATACATATAACAATGCTAGAGTTGTATAAACAAATAAACTTTTTGTTATTTGTGCATATTAACTTAACTTAACTGAGTTAAAATTATTAACTTGCCCAACCTTGCTTTTTGGTGTACTCTTAACTACAACTGTTTGCAATTCCTGTAATTATAGTCTTCCTACACAAAATATAACAAGCTTCCAATCATTTTTTTTTTTTTTAATATAATAATTGGAGAATTGCTAACTAGTAGGAACAGTAAGTTGTATTATGTGATAGGAATATATATTAAGTCATACAGACATAACAAATAATATATGCAAATAATTCACAATAAACAAAATATATTAATAAAAAAAACAATACTAGTACATAACATGCGAGAATAAAAAATAATACTAATAATACATAATAAAAATTATAATACATAACATTTTATAGGTGAGAAAGAATATATCTAACTTTCTATGCTTTCTAGTGCCAACCGCTTAATTTGACTTGAATAACGGTAGCCCTGAGGTTTTCTCTTACCCATTTCAACATACTGTTTTAAAACCATGCACAGGTTAGGAGGTAAATGTGCTTCAACTACTCTGTTAAACAATTCAACTGAAGTCACATCTATTGCATTTGCACTATTCTTCATAGCTACTTCTTCACTCAACGCATTCATTTTCTGTTCTAACTGTTTGTATTTATCTTTAATTTCTTGAAGTTCAGATATGTACTTTTTCTTTCTTGGGGTATGTAATGAGAGAATTTGAGTAGTTTGAGTAGATGAGGAGATCGAACAATCAGCAGAATATGATGAACTTGGAGATAGTGAACCTAAAGAAAAACAAAATATAAATACTAAATATGCAAATTAAATCAACAGTTTGTAGTTTAAATTCAGTAAATTATTTCTATTTTATTTTGATTAATAATAATACAGAATTATATCTATCTTATAATACAACTGAACACGGCTAACAACATTATCAATTTATATCAAGGCTGGGCATTAACCAGTTAAAAAGTTAAAGTTAATTTAATTTTAACTATTTAACTTAACTACCTAGTTACTTTTGGCTTTTCATTAATTTAACTGTTAACTTCTTAAATTTCTTTTTTAATTAACGAATTAATTTTTCATTTTAAGAAGTAAGTTAAGTTAATTTATTTTGTTTTTAATTTTATTATATTTTACTATTTCAGTATATAGTAAAAATATATCATATTATATAATACAAATAAAGTAGGTAATAATATTTACATAAAGACAAAAACTTACAAGAAATAGAAATTGACTCATTTTGTTTTGTTGGAGTTCTCGTGGCAACTGAATTATTAAACAATAATGGATCTGATATACTAGTATCCACACAATTACTGCACACATGTTCTTTAAAGATCAATGCTATAAAAATAAACAATAATCAGTAAAGTATAAAATATTTAAATATGTAATATGTAAAATTATAATTACAGAAATCAGTAGGAACCGCAGTAGGCAATAAAACTGTTCTATCAGGGTTTGAGTACATTTTGTCCTCGAAATGGTCTGAACACACAAAACGACGTACTGTTGATTTTTCTAATAAATCTTGACGACCGCAATTTATTAGCCAATTCTTACGACTAAATTTTTTAAATTATAATTAGATACATATTTATAATATATTATAATTTATATACATTAGTGACAGGCTAAATTAAACTTACCGTAATTCATCTTTAGGTGACTTAAACATTATGCACTTCTTCTTAGTCAACGCACTAGAATTATTGCATTCTTTCACAATGCACAAATTCACCATGATGATAGCACAGAATAAAGCTACAATCTAATACTCAAAATACTAATCAAAATACAAAAACGGCGTAAAGTCACAGAATATAACAAGTGGAAAGGAGTCACGAGTCTACGTTACAAACGTGAAACGGACAGACAAAACAATAAACATAAAACTTGTAATCACGATAACGTAAAAACGTGGTACTTATCAGGGGCAGGAACCGGAATTGAACCGGTTTTTGGAAACCGGTTTTACACGAAAAAAAATTGAAAACCGAAACCGTTACTGAACCTAAACCGAAAAGTTAAAAAACCGTAATTAAAACCGAAACCGAAAAAATATTATCAATTATCATAAAAAAAAAAAAATAATAAAATTATTAAAAATCAAAATGTTCAAAATCACAACTGCCAACTTAGTAAAGTAAAAATCCCAGCAATCTATCCAACAGTGTGACCGAAACCTATAAACAAAAAATGTCCCGATAAATTCCGAGATTATGTGTTACACGGTGGGTGTATGTAGAAATAGCCACTTAAACCATAGAACAATAAAAACAATAATTATGCTTAAACTGAATTAATCTCCCTGTAAAAAAGACGCTATGAACATACAAATATAATATATATACTATTGATGTAATTAAATTCTCAAGTTCAAATTATTTCTAATTCAATATTATAGTTAATAATAGCTAATAAATAATAATAATAAATCATTAATATTATTTAGTTAATAGTTATCTAAGCTTTAAAGAATAAAAATTACTATTCTTTTAATAAATGCGTAGGTAGGTACTAAGGAGGTACTATAATAAGTTTCTTATTATTTGCAAAATCTTGAAACCAAAACAAGTTTCTGTGTGTTACTCAGTGGGGGTATGTATAAATGGCCACTTAAACTGATGGAATCCCTCTGTAAAAAAGTCGATGTGATTTGTGAACATACATTACCCTTTTTTAGATTATGTGTTAGACGGTGGGTCTATGTAGAAATGGCACCTTTAACTGAAGAAATCTCCTTGTAAAAAAGGTGCTGTGAAAATACATTACACTTTTGGAGATAATGTGTTACACGGTGGGGCAGTAGCGTATCCAGAATTTTTTTTCGGGAGGGGTTATAATTTATTTTTGTGGAATTTTATCTTAAAATGATTTATTAATGATAACGTTGTTATAATTTAACAATTTTCGGGGGGGGTTACAACCCCCAAACCCCCCCCCTGGATACGCCACTGCGGTGGGGTATGTAGAAATAGCCACTTAAACTGAATTAATCTCCCTGTAAAAAAGACACTATGAACATACAAATATATACTATTGATGTAATTAAATTCCCAAGTTCAAATTATTTCTAATTCAATATTATTGTTAATAATATGTAATAAAAATAAATCATTAATATTATTTAGTTAATAGTTACCTATCTAAGCTTTAAACAATAAAACATTGATATTCGTTAAATCAATGCGTAGCGTAGGTACTACCTATAATAGTAAGTTTCTTATAATTTGCAAAATCTTGAAACCAGAACAAGTTTCTGTGTGTTACACGGTGGGGTATGTAGAAATGGCCACTTAAACCGATGAAATATCCCTGTAAAAAACTTGCTGTGAACATACATTACACTTTTTTAGATTATGTGCTAGACGGTGGGTGTATGTAGAAATATCCGCTTAAACTGAATAAATCTCTCTGTACAAATATACACTACCTACTAATGAAATAAATAAAAAATATTCCTCGTAACGAGCTACAAAAATTGCGTATTTTGAATTGGTCTAAAACTTGATATTTAGGACTTTAATACATCGATGTATCGGTCTGTTTTTAAAAAATCTTAGAATCTAAGTGAGTAGGTCTAAAGTTTTTTAAAATTGAAAAAAGTCTTATTTTAAACTTGTTTGAAAAAACCAAATAATAATTATATAGGAATAGGTACAAATATATATATATAATATATATTTAAATGTCTAAATCTTGTATTATCTTGTATTCATGTGGTTTCATGAAGACTGAGTCTGAAGATCCAATGACCAATAGTATCTGCAGTTTAAATTTTAAAGCTGGTATGACTTTTTAAAACTTTCAACTGATTATTAATTGTATTTAATATCAGGTACTCGACTTATTTTATTTTAAATTCTGAGTGGAACGATGAATGTATTGATTTTACAATGATGTGTGTGTTTTTTTTTTATTTTTGTGTCTGTGTACACGATAAGTAGTCGAAATAATGCTTCGATTTTCAACTTCAGTATCTTGTTCGATTGGAAAGTGAAAATCGTTGGTGCATTGGGGAGGTCAAAATTGGCAGTACTTTTCAAAAGCGCCAAGAAAAACAAAAGAAAAATTAAGGATAAACGGGAATTTTTACGCAAAATCGATTTTTCAGAAAATTGAATTTGGTTTTTGGTGTAACTTTAAAACAAATGATCGTAGATACATGATATTTTCACTGGTTGTTTATATTTGCATTTTCTATACACGATAACATTTTCAAAATATTTTGATTTATTTTGAACTGTTTAGGGACATTTTCATTTTTCATTTTTTTTTTAGTTTTTTTCTAGAAATATCAATAAAATTGTATTTGTTGGTTAAAAAAGCTAGAAAATTTAATAGAAGGCTCCTAGTATATTGTTTCAAAGGCAGATGAAAAATATTAAAAATCGTTAGTCACAGTTTTTTTTTATAAGCATTTAAAGTTCAAATTTGGACGAAATTACAAAAAAAAAAAAGCCTAGAATAAATATTTTAGTTATTTTGTTGTGATTGTATAATATTATTCGTGGGTACTTGAAACTTCTAAAGTGTACTATTATATATCCATGATAGTATCAGGGTTAGTTGTTGATGTATAACGCGTTATAAGTACCTAATGGATATGGTGATATGATTAATTTGGAATTTAGTATAGGTACTATTATAGGTCAATTTTTTTTAATACCATAGATATGTATATAATATGTCTTAAACCTAGACTGACTTATCGTCTCCGCTCAGAATCGTTTTACTTATACAATGATATTATATCATTGAATTCAAATTTAATACCATCCATTATACAGTGACCCACTTGTAACCTACTGTACAGCAGAGCAACATCCACTTGCCCACCTTTTTCATGTTGTATTAATTATTTTTATTGATCTCTATAATATTGCAATCGCAATGTGAAAAATTAAAATTTAAAATTTAAGTAAAACAATTTATTTCATTATCCACGATTTTAGATTTCTTTAGGTATATGAAAGGTAGATTTATTTTCCAATATAAAAATAGGTGCAATTTCAGTTTTTGACTCGAAGGGCTTTACATATTTAATTGAAACAGACCCCATGAGTGGCTTTGCTCCAGTGGTGTAGCTAGATGAGAAAGGGCTCCAGGGCTGTTAATAAACCAGCCCTCCCCCTTGACGAATATTATCTTTGTGAAAATTCAAAATATACACGTTATATTTTGGGGCCCCAGCCCCCAAGGCACTGCCAAACGTTTACCTATGATAGCTATGCTACTGTTCTTACCCCCACACCACATGTGCCCCCCTTTTAAACTGCCACTGTTCTTATATATATACGAATACTATATATATATACTATATTTGTAACCGTCAATTTGAAAGTGCAAATGTATAAAAAAAGCAATTCTATCGAGTACCCAGTTGCGTATCCAGGGGCGGCTATGGGGACTATACCCCCCCCCCAAATTTACGGTGTGGACCTTAGAATTTTATCAAGATGAATAAAAAAATAAAAAGTGTAAGTAAAAGACATATTGTATTTGTATACTTAGCCCCACCCCATACAAAATTTCTGGCTACGCCACTGCGAGTACCTATGACCTATCAACTACATTCTAGATAAATCTAAATGTTACTAATAATGTTACTATTTTTAATACTATTATTAAACCTATATTGTTATTTTATATTGATGAATCCAATCTATATACTATGGAAATTACGTGAATTAAACGTGGTTCAAACTTTATAAAATAATTTTTTCAAACAACGTTTATTGTAATAAATACGTTAATAAAAATAAATCGTTCACACGATCAAATAATTTATAGATTAGATAATTAATGAAAGATTTAATACTTCAATTAAAATACAAATTTATGGAGGTGCTAAATTTAATATTTAATTAAATGTGCTAAGCCCCTCCAAGTCTCCCCCAAATTGCGCCTATGAATAAAGCAGTTCAATAATTTGACCTCAATTGAAAATTTGGTTAATCAAAATAAATAATCAACGAGAACTTTCTTCAGTAAAAAAAGGACTGGTAAGAAATAGTGGTAAGTACCTACATATTAATTTAATATTATTTTTATTCATTATGTTTAATTTGAAAATAAAATCTGATTAAGATATCATATTTTCATTACAAAACGGGTTTTATTTAATAGTCAAATTACCCGAATAAATGTACATTTAACCGTAACTAGATAAGTTCATCATCCCGAATCATCCGAATTCTCTTTAAAGTTTAAACGCCCAAAACCCAAATAAATAATTACGGCGTAAAGCTCTGCTATTAAGTTATACGTAATAACTAATAAGAAGAATTAAAAAATGTTATTTTAGTCGATTTTGACGAACGTCTGGATAGTCAAAGTGCATTTGACAACCATTGACGTCCCATAATCCGTTTGATGAACATCATTTGATTATTTTTCATATATTTTTCCTGTTTAAAAGTTAATATTTTATTTTCAACATGGGTCGTAAAATTACAAACCCGGTGGAAAAAATGTTTTTTTTATACAATGTATCGACAAATTCTTGTACATGCCAAGTAAATAAGTATGTGACGTCCATAAAAGGCCGACATAGCGCTACACTTGAAAGGCATGTACAACGATTACACCCAAAAGAATATGAAGAACTTCGAGGTAAGTAAATTAAAATGTATTTTATTTATTTATTTTAAATGTATTTAATAAATTTACAAACAAACAGTTATACATACAAATATACAGTACTTATATATTATAAAAATAATGATTATTACAAATTAGAAATATTATTATGTTTGTGATACAAAAAATGGTGCTAGGTGTGTAATATTAATTTTATAGGATATTTATTTAACTAGGTATTTATTATTTTTATAATTTATAGAAAGGAAAAAAATGTCAAGTGAGGTGGAAACTCACGAAAATGAAGACCCAACTTCTTCCTCCACAGTAACAAAAAAAGTGAGATATTTTAAAATAAATAATAGGTAATTCTTCATAAAAGCAAAATTCAAACTAATTATGAAAAACATTTAAAATTCTAAAATTTTTGTAGTATAATAAATATAAATATTTAACATATTTATATAGGTATTAGGTACCTATTACAATAATTATGAGTTAAGCCTTAGAAGAACTAAAAATTAATTTCTATACCTAAATCATTTCCATATTTGCAATGTTTGGGTATTATTTGTTATTAAATTTTAATTTGAAATTATAGAAACAGGCTTCAATCAATACCATGAAAAATTTCAATCTAACAACCGTTAAAAAGACAATACGAGTTAACATGGAGTACCAAGATTTGTTGGACGGGTGCACTGAGATGGTTACTAATAATGGCAGACCATTTTGTGCAGTTGATGATTCAGGTTTTAGAAAAATTATCAATCCTCTGTTAGTACAATTTGGACCTGGTAAGTTTACTTGTACTTTTTATGTCTTCTTCTTCATACCAAATACCTACCAAAATTAAATTTTGATAAATCTTTTATATTTAAGAATACACTATTAACGTGAAAAATGTAAAGGAGAATATCATAACAAAAGGGAACCTAATTATAAAAAATATAAGCGAGGAAGTAAAGGGAAAACTTCTCAGCTTAAAATTAGATTGTGTAACTCGGCAAAACCGTTCGATACTAGGGATCAATGTCCAGTACATGGACAATAATGATGAGGTGGTTCTGAAGACTTTGGCGATGACACAAATCGACGTTAAACATACTTCGGAAAATTTAAAACATGCGGTATTTAATTATTATTAACTGCATTTTTATATTTGCTAATTATTTCATTATAAAACTATTATTTTTAGGTCTGTGAAGTTTTAAAAAAATTTAATATTACCAAAAATCAAATTTTTTCTATAACATGTGACAACGCAAATAATTTGGTTAAATTAACAAGGATTTTGAGAGAACCTGATGCTACTGATTATACATACAGCGAATCTGATGATGGTGAATCTGATATGGATAATGTTAATGTAGATGCCAACGATGTTACAGACGGTAATTACATGGTTTTGTATTTTTAATTCACTTTTCTTTAATATTACTTAAGTATAATATTTAAATAATAGGTGAACCAGATAGCTCAGAGGAAATGGAAACACAAATATTTGAAGATGTCATGTTGGAAACTTTCACACCCGACCCTGAGCCACTAACCAAGTGCATTCGCTGTAGTGCACACACAGTTCAGTGCTGTGTCATTGATGCGTTGAAGTTAGAGTCAGTTCAAGAAATATTGAAAAAAGTCAAAAGTGTAAGTTAAAAATTAAATATTTATGCTTATATAATTTTGTTTTTAATTAATATAAAATATTTTAAAATAAACAGATTGTTAAAAAGTTAAGAACAAGAACATTTATGGTAAAACTAAAGAAAAGAGGCCTAAAAATGCCAAAAATCGACATTGAGCCAAGATGGAATACCTCGTATGACATGCTGGTTCGATTCTTGGAGCATAAAACTTTTTGTCAACACAGAGAAGATAAATATCCTGAACTAAAGTTGGATGAATGTGATTGGGTTGCAGTCTCGGGCATTGTGAGTTAAATAGTTAATTGTATTTATATATATTCTATTATAGTGTTATTGTACAAATTAATTAATTTTCTAGGTCAAAGCTTTATAACCAGTTAAAATAGCTACAATGGAGTTACAGGGACGATCAGTAAATCTGAGGACTTTTTACTCAGTTTGGTGTAAACTTAGGGAGTCACTGGTCATAGTTACATCGGATTTAGCAATGAGTGTTTTAAATGAGATGAATAAAAGACACAGTAAGCTGTTTGACAATATTTTAATATACTGTGGTATGTATAATATATTAGTATATACTGATTTAAATTTGAATGATAATTAGATACATACCTAACTCAAATTGTATTTTTACTATTGAAGCTATGTATCTGGATCCAAGCTACCAAGGCATTTTGACAGTGGATGCCAAACAGCAGGCCAAACTGCATTTGGCAAAAACTTGGAAGTTATTAGGCCATTTGAACCATGTTATACCAGCTAATGTTGTAACTGAGACAGTAAATAATCCAAATCTGTCCGATGATGATATGGATGTAACAGATAGGTTTGAATCGTTTTTGAGGAGTCACTCATCTACACCGACTGCAACTGCAAATATTCCTTCTGTTCCATCCATTGAAACCTTATTGGAACAATATGACCGGGTACCGTACCAATCTTACAAATTAGATATTATGGAGTATTGGACCACTAAGAAACATCTGATGCCAGAGCTATATGAGCTTTCCAAAGTTTTAATGGCCATTCCTGCTACTCAGGTATAATATTAATATTGATTAATTGTATTAATATAATATAACCTATAGAAAAGATTTCTCTCCAGATTTTCCCTGCTCATGCTATTTTTATAATTATATATTCATTATTCTTTTTACCTCCTCAAATGTACTGTAGATAGTAACTACTTTTGTATTCCAGGTGTCTGTGGAAAGGTGTTTTTCGGGGTTGAAGTTTATTCTGTCTGACCTCCGTTCAACTATGTCGAAAGACTTGGTTGAACATATAATGGTAATAAGAGGCATCAATAAATTATAATACAAGCAACTATAAAATCAACAGTAGTATAATTAAAAGGTTACTTTAATATAATAAAAATATAGACTTACTTATTTTTATGCTATTTGTTCATTATCCTTCTCTTGTGTCCGGTGGTAATTAATTTAATAAAGGTCATACAGCCATAAAGGTACATCATAAAGTGATAACTATGGCTATTTAATATCTTTATATTTAATATCTTGAGTAGGTGAGTAATATATTATCATATTAAAATGTTTTATATTTATATAACATCTTAATTAAGATTATAATATACAATGTATCATGGATGGCGCCAAGGCCTATCTCGCAATTTAATCAATTTGACAGGTGAGTCTTGATTTCGAATTTCGATCACGATTATCAGCTATAATTTCTTATCAAATTGTATATCAAAAATGTATTTTAAGTATTTATAAGTTTGAAATTTAAATCAATTATAATTATGAAATAATGATTTACTTTATAATAATTTTGTTTTGTTATTATTTACTTTATAATAATTTTGTTTTGTTATTATTTTATGTAAAATAATTTTGTAATGTTCATTTATTTTTTATTTTTTATTATTATTGTTATGAACTTAAAGGGTGGTAGTGTTGTATATGTAATCTATCTGGCTGACTGTGCCAAATAGACGCGACCGTCGCTCTATGTGTTACGTAACTGTGTAGCTAACCTTATTATTCATTCTATCCGTTGTGTGGTACATCATATTAATAATATTATACTAAGTTTTTTTTGTCGGTTCTAATAAAGTGAATATGATTACTTATTTATTGTGATTGTCTATTATTTATATATTACAAACATAACAAACTGTGACTAAGTGTTTTTAATATTTTTCAAATATCATTGTATTAATATAGTAGGAGTCTTGTATTAAATTGTCAAGCTTTTTTACCCAACAAATAAAGTTTTATTGACATTCATAGAAAAAAATACTTATCAAATTGGAAACAGAAAAAGTTCCTAAACAGTTCAAAACATAAAAATATTTTTAAAATGTTATCGTTCATAGCAAATGCAAATATAAATGACCAGTGAAAATTTATTTGTTTTAGAGTTACACCAAAAACCAAAATCGATTTTTTGTCAAAATTCCTGCTATAGGGAATTTTGACCTCCCCGATGCACCAACAATATTCACTTTACCATCGAACAAGATACCTACTGAAGTTGAAAATCAAAGTATATTTATCGTGTACACAGACACAAAAATAAAAATAAAAAAACATCTTTGTAAAATCAATACATTCATCGCTCCTCTCAGAATCTAAAAGGGATTATTTTTTTTTGGGGGGGGGGCTTACAAATATTGTTGACCCAGGGCTCAAAAGTGTAAATACGGCCCTGGCTCCAGCTAATAACTCTTGATTTTAAATCTTCGCAGTAGGTAGATACTAGGTGGTAGGTACCTACAAAGGTGGGCATTAACTAGTTGAAAAGTTAAAGTTCAGTTAAAAAGTTTTTTTTTAACTTTTTACTTAACTAGTTAGTTTATTTTCTAATTAACTTATGAACTTAAATAGTTTAATTTACAATTGAAATAACTTAGCTTTTCTCAGTTGATTTAAAAAAAATCCATTAAGTTAAAACACTTTGAAATTGTTCGTTTATACGTAAATATTACTATATCAGTATAAAATAAAAATAATCCAATAGGTACAAAAACACAAACATTTCTGTTCTTTTTCTTGATAACATAATTTTTTGCATATTAATATATTTTATTGAGTTGTAAATTATATATTACCTATGTGAGTTGTAATTATACCTAAATGTTTTTAATAAAATTAATAATTTTAAATTACAAATTGCCAATTGTTATGTTTTAATGTTATATAACTTATAATATATTATATTATATATGAAGGTCATGTTCATGACTCATCTTCATGTAGTATGACATTCAATTTCTAAACGATATAAAAAAATATATTTGTTAAATTATTAATTTGAGATGAGTATAGTTTAAATTAGTAAATAATAGAAAAGTAAAATGGTATACAGTGTACATTATGATAAAAGTTCAATAAAATTTTTTTTTATAATTTATAAATTAGAAACTAGAAAGACACATTCACTCTTTATGTGATTTACATATTAATTATAAAAAAAAAAATGGATTAACTTTTTTTAAACTGAGTTAAGTTAATATTTTTTTCTATATTAAATTTTAACTTATCGAGTTAAATTTATAATTTGTTAACTGCTAACTTTTGACTTATCGATCTTGTGTCCTCTTAACTTAACTTAACTTGAGTTGATTATTTTCATTAACTTGACCACCTTTGGGTACCTACCTAACTATTACTACGTTTATATGATGGCGGTTAAACGGTATAAAGGCGGGTTCACACTACACCGTGTCGTGTAATATAATCACGGTTACCTAAGTTACCAAACGATACCGCATAGTTGAATATATTCAACTTTTGACCGTGTGGTTACATTTATGTGCAGATAAAGTCGGGTTCATACTTAATGTAACCACACGGTCAAAAGTTGAATATATTCAACTATGCGGTATCGTTTGGTAACTTAGGTAACCGTTATTATATTACACGACACGGTGTAGTGTGAACCCGCCTTAAGACTAAACCGTTTTGAAAGTTAAAACGCTCGATCTATATCTATGTAGTTTAAGAATTTAAAACCGGTTTATCAGATGTACATATAAACGTTTCAGCAAATAAAACGGTTTTAAATTTTTAAACTACATAGCACGAGCGTTTTAACTTTCAAAACGGTTTACTTAGTCTTAAACCGTTTTAACGCCATCATATAAACGTAGTATATATAATATATATTTTCTGCTTGAACGCCCTTTTTATTTAAAGACGATGCGAATCTATCTAACAAAGTGTCGAGCAAAGTGTATTTGGTTTGGGTAAACGTAAAGCTAATAACTATTTTTAAATTTAATAATTTGTTTCCAATTTTGTTAAGGTTTAGGCTAAAATCATAATATTGATCATAGATAGTTTTTAGGTTACCTATAGTGTTATCCTAAAAATTAAATTTGATACAAGTCAAACCAAAATCATCTTCATCAGTTTTAGAATCGTCTCATTATTATAGTTATTACTTTTAATATAAACTTTAAGAATTTTTAAATTATTTTCTGTTCTCTCTTTCAACAAACCTACAATGTTTTCATAAATTTTTGAAAATAGTTCAATGATTTTAGCAATAACTTTTTAGTGGTTGATGTACCAACCCAAGGGATAAAGTGTTTAAATTTTAAACATTTTTCTGGAGAAAACTGATTTTTTAAATTGTTGGTTTAGGAATTATAATACAGTATACAAGTATACAACATAGGTAGTACCTACCTATACCTAATATGCTCATAAATCATAATATTATTATTATTATAAACTTATAGTTCGACTATGTACTTATTGTAGTATTGTACCAACTGTCAACAAATAGTAGTGGTTAAAGGTTTTTAAACTGTTTCGTATTTTAAAAATAAGCTAAAATACTTTTATTAGTGATGACAATGTCGTCAAATGTTCAGAAGCCCCGGCTCACAGTGGTCTAAAATACGCTGTTTTAGCTGTTCAAAAGTCCCATTTCAAAATAAATGCAAAAAAAAAAAAATGTCAAACCTCTATTAGCATAAGTTCCTTAAGTCAAATATAAAATCTCATAATCATACGTTTATTTTTAATTTACCTATTAAGTATTAACGTCACCTTATTTTAAACGATAGCAACTGTACCAGAGTAGTAGAGTACCTATCTTTAATGTAATAATAATATGCCTTATAGGTAATATGTTTATTGTTTACTTTATTATTTTTAGTTCGAAGTTATTACTATGGGAGGATTTATCGTATTTTTCTTCTTTTTTTCATGCATATGTATATATCATACAATCATCAGAACATTACAATTTTTAATTTAATATTTATATTGAAGCATAATGAAAAAATTTAAAAAAAAATTGACGCAGTTATTATTATCAATAAATGTTATCTAGTAGGTAGGTAGGTATTTTATTTCTGAGCCTCTACACTAGCTACAATCAATTCTTATATTAAATAAAATATATAATAAATCATGTGTAGATTAGTACCTACCAAGTACCAATACATATGTTTAGGTACCACCTACCTAGTCCTACATGGCTACATACGTAACTAGGTAACTAACGTAGTAACGTATTATATACTATATACTAATATAGTCTACCAAGTACCAGCCGTTGACCGTATAGGTAGTCATTGTCTGTACCTACCAATGGTAGGCTACCATATCGTCGGTGATAGAGCAATACCACGTAACTCCAAAAAAATCGAAAATGACTTTTATACATCAATTTTTTCAGAAAAAAATAACCTATGTTTTGGTGTAAATACCTCGTAAATATTCGTATTTTGCTTATACATATAAAAGGTTATAGGTGCGTATAAGTTTGATACTTTTTTAACCTTTTTATGGTGACCAATACATTTTTTTTTAGGCAACTTTTGGTCTTTGCATTTGGATAACGATATTCATAATAAAGTGTACGCATGACGAGACGCTTCATCAGTCGTTTAGATGCGTATAGAAAAACGAACACCTCTATTATTATATACCTAATTATTGTTATTATTATCGACTACCTCTACCTATATTATATTGTCATAACGTACCGGACTTGAATTTCTGCCATCATAGAACAATGACATAATATTATAATAGGTGCACGCGTCAAAAAAAAAAATAACAAAAAACGCAATCGATCGTCATTCACCGTACACGGACAGACGTCATGGCGTAAGCGACCGAAATCGGAGTCGTATGCGACGCGGCGGCCGTGCGTGCGCTGTACCCATGCGCCCCGCATTTCAGTCACCTCGGGGTCTCCGTATCGATCGGTCCCCGCGGCTGGCCGGCCAACGGTGCACAGTGTCATTAGTGTTCCAGCGGCGGTGGAGAGAGACGGTTATCGCGGATTGCTAGGCCGACGTTAATAAAAACAAACCCGATAACATAATAGTATTCAATAATATCATATTGTTAAATTGTCGTTTACGTTACAATAATATATTCACGTACGGTCGCGCCCGTCCGGTTTAGCCATATATTATATTAGGTATATATATATATCGGTTATTATTTACTTTAAATATTCGGGCCCCTCTACAATATTGTATAATAATATAATATTTTTATCATTGTTATTATCGTTGTGCCCACGATTTATAAGAGTTTATAATATTTTATTTAATTATGTAATATTATAATTTATTGTGTGTATAACATTGTTCAGATTGTCGTATGCGTCGGCGTGGCCAGTATATTATATAGTACCTACCAACCTATCGTTGTTATAGAGAGACGATAACATGAAATCCGCCAAAGTCTTGGTCGCCCTGTTCCTATACGGGTGTTGCATGATCCGAGAATGCCTTCAACACGACAATCCTGAACCCGTCAAAACGGCCCTGTAAGTAGCTGTACCTAGGTAATAAATAATAATAGGTATTATAAATGTACCCCAACATGCCATAGATAATATAAATATATAATTTGATGTACCCACCACTAGTGGAGTGGTGAGGGTATAAGCCATGCCCTCCCCCCATTAGCCGTACAGTGGTGGATACGAGGGAGACGAAGGTGCGTTCGTCCCACTCGGGCTGTCTTTTTAACGTTATTTTTTATTATAATATTTGGCTAAACAAAAAGACAAGGAATTTAATTTTTGAAAATTCGCCCCTCCCCTTGGGTAACTTCTGGATCCGATACTGTAACCGCATCAAAACATTGAAACAACATTTTTTTTATATTTTTATTTGACATAAAATTCTATACAAATTAGCACTATAAGTTTATATGATGAGAGTATTATGACATGAAAGGTATAATTAAAGTAGCCACCCATTAGTGACTTTTAGTTAGTTGATATGAAACAACATAAAAATAAATTATTATTGTTGAGTATTTTTTTTTATACTTAACTTTGCCCTCCTCTTATTTTTAAATCCTGCCTATCACCCACGTACTTATAACGGTAAAAATATGTCAGTCGTGCATATGTGAAAATTGGAAGGGGGTTGGGTGAGTTTTGAAATTGGCCTTCTCAAAATTTGAAGCCATTATTGAACATGTAATGATAGTTAATTGTAAAGACTAAAGGGTATGTTTAGTCATAATTTGTAAGAACTATCTGAAAAAATAGTTGGTGACGTGTTTTTTTTTATAAGCGGTATGTACTATACCTAGACCTAACTTTACCTACATTTGCTATTTGCAATATTAGTTGTTATTTACTTACTTAGTTATTGAAGCAGTAGGACAATATTATTTTTTGTTAGCTACCTAGTATAGTTGTATAAATGTATAATATGTTAAATATAATTTTTTAAAAAAATTTACAATGTCTCATAATACATAATAAAATATACAAATCCAGGTCTAAAATCAATATAATATAATTATAACACGTCCGTGGGGATCCGGCCCATATCATGTATTTATGCATTTTTATTACATCGTAAAACATTGATAATAATTATAAAATTATAGGTAGGTACTTTTCATCTCCCAACCTTAAAAATCCAAAATTGGTTTCCCTTTTGTTAAAAATAATGAGTCTATGTGTGCTTGAAGTCCAGTACCGGTGCTGACAAAACTTTTAATAGTGTGAGGGGGTAGAATTTAGTAATTTCGGCACAAAAACATGTTTTCATCCTATGGTATATAACTTTGTCCAAGAGTACTAAGTACTAACGTTTTATTCTTATAATGTATTAAAACTTCTATAATATTTACATATGAAAAGGAATTAACCAAGTCCCGATGAGGGAAGGACCATCGCCCTCTCACTTCTCAGACCATTAGTGCTCAATAAGTTTCCACTGAGGAAAACATTTTAAAATAAGTATTTAATTATATAGATATATATTTTTTCGTGTTAGGATATAACTAGCTACAAACATTTTTATAAATAGAGGTCTTATACAGTTATAGTCATAAATTATAATAACATTATAATATTGTTTTAAATAATAAAATCTACCTTGATGGATTTAGAAAACCATAAGTTGATGCTACAGCTGATATGTCTTATTACCAGGGCTAGGATATGTGCAACAGCATGTTTTTTTGCGAATTCTGATTATTGATTTTGTCAGTAATGTTCACGAATCACCTCATGATGAGATAAATTATGGTATTTTTATTTTGCATGTTTTTGCATATTTTGGATGAAATACATATTATTGCATATTATGAATAAAATGAATATTATTGCATATATTTCGATTATAAGAATGCGAAAAATACATGTTTTATAGTATATTTCATAAGACTTGGTTTTTTTGTCAAACATAAATTTTATTTTTATAAATACAATCCTATGGTACAATAGGTATGCAATAAAAGATTGAATAGTTTGACATTCATTTTCGAAAATTTTAAAAAATATGAGGTCGTAACGACGTAGCATGTAACTCACGTAATGAATGTGAATTATAAATTTTAATTCTAAATTATTATTTTTTTTTCTCAATTATATTATTTTAAGACAAACAGCCAGGCAATCGCTGATATATTTCAATTTTCAACAAATAAATATTTTTTTGTAAATATATTTTTGTGATTATCTTATAAAAATTGAAATGCATATTTTTGCATATTTTGGTAAATAAAATGCATATTTTACCATTTTTTATTGCATACAAATCCTAGCCCTACTTATTACTTATAACTTATTAGCCATCTTCAAAAATAAAAATTATGATGTGAATACTTATGTATATTTTATAACAGTTGTATAATATGTAATATGCATACCTATTGTATAATATATTTGTATCTCTTATTGTGTTCTTAACTCATGATTGTGTTTAAATACGATTCATCCACAGGCTGCAAACGTGGGCTGAAAAGTTATATTTTGAATTATGGAACTGCGGAGAATACATAACTAATCGAAAATCACTGCAAAGTGTAAGTATATTCATTTATGTATAACTACTGTGGCGTATTTACGGGGGGATCAAGGGGATCAATCCCCCTCCATAGGCTGTATATAATATGCAAAAGTTTTGGGAGTCCTAACTTAAGGTTTCTATTGGATAAAATCATATCCCCCCCCCAAGACAAAAACCTAAATATACCACTGTATAACTATGATACCCAATACACATAAAATAAGCCTATGGGCTATGATAGATATATATTTAAAATTCAGGAGATAGTAATTATGATATAATAAAACTTGTATTTGATAGGAAGATGTAGGTACATAAATCTTTATTTATAGCTAGGTGCCTATACAAATATACAATTGGTAAATATCTTACAAGTTTTTAATTAAATACAAACTATATTATGTAATCATGCTAAATGTGAAGTATATTATAGATTATATAGAGTTAAGTATAAGGTACCTAGGTAAATAATTAAATGTTTATTATATTGCTTTCTTCTTGTTAAGATTATTGGGGGACGGATTGGCCGAGCGGACTAAGGCGTCCGGCGGCATTTTTCTTCGGACAAGTCACGGTGTCCGGAGAACAAGTTGGGCCATTCCCCACCTGGGCATGGCAGATACCTACGGGTGCCCAACCAAAAAGTCTGCCAAACACAACACACACGTGTAAAAACCCTACCATTGCAAACCCTACTACCTACAATCATCAAACCCCACAATCAGCTAATGGCCATAGTCGCCGGGCTTTAAAGATCAATAAAAAAAAAAAAGAAATAAATATTATTATTTTGCTATTTTAAATTTTTAATAAAAATAAAGACAGGTAGACAGATGATAATATTATAACATGTAATACATATTATTTTTATATTGTATCTTCAAATGGTTTGGAATTACGGTGAATTAAATAAAGATAATGATTATGATAAGTAGTTATAACTAGGTAGGTACTTACCATCTACTAAAATTAGGTTTTCGATAACTTATTTAGTTCTTATTCTCATTTTACAATAACAAATATTTAAATATATTTATGTTTTATGCTTCGAAATGTTCAAATAAAAATCATTGTTAGTATTCCTTGTAAAATTGTAAATAGTAAATATGTGCTTAAATTATAAAATCACCAATAGTACGATGTTACAATATACCTACTACAAGAGTAATATCTCGATAGCTCGAATTGGTCGGGACCAAAAAAAAATTGAGTTACCTATCAAAAATTGGAGTTATAGAAAAAATTGTATATATATATATTGAAATGTTGGGGTTAAGTCATCAAAAATTCGAGTTAAAGAGGTTCCACTGTATAAATTTAAAATTTCAGTTTTATCATTGCCATATGTATCAAAAAGTTTTGAATAGTATAAATGTTTCATCATTTAATTAACAATAAATTAGGTAATTAAAAACATGATGTCATAATATAGGATACTTATAAACAAATATTGTATCTATTTAATTAGTGTCAACCATATCATACGACATTTTAATATTATAAAATGGTTATTTGAATAATTTAATGTAACTCAAAACCTTAAAATGTAAAATAATTTAATGTACCTACAGAATGTTATAAAAGCCACTCTACCGCACATACAAGGATTATTATAGACCAAACACATAATTGTACTCCATTCATATTATATCCTTCATACTAAAAACTCCGTAAAGTATCTACAGCATGTAGCTGTGATTAAAATATTAAATTAATCACTACGCACCATTGGCGGATATTTGGTTGAATGTATGGGGGACTTTAAATTTGTATACACATTATCAAAATTAAACAGATTTCAACCTTCAACTTACTGCCTAAATGTTGACCTCAAACATGTACCTATATTGTATTGGTATATAAATGTAAATAAATTACATAAATAAATTCTGTAGGTGTAATTATATGTTAAATAGACAATAAATCTATTATTATTATTATTATTAAAAGTGTTGTAGATGGAATAAACTTTCTGAGGGGGGTTTGATAACATCCCGGAGGAATTAAGCCCTCGAAATTCCTCCTACCAATATTCAACTGCGTGGCACTGTGCCACGCACATAAGTCATTCAAAAAATCCCTTTAAATGAACCAACATATTGTATCGCCAAATAAAACAACGACAAATTTAAATTAGGTACAATTTTTCGTCTTCTTGTAATTAAAGCTCCTCGTTAAACACTTCTAGTATACTAATTACTAGGTATGTTAAATCAATACAAAAGGGATTATAAATGTTTTCTAGAGTCTAGAGACGGATACAATGCGGCATTTTGCACCAGAATTTTTTATTCATTTTACAAGTTTTGAGTGCTTGATGCATTTTGTCGTTCAAACACTGGAATACAAATTTAAACAAACTTTTGGCTGCTAATAACCGTTATTATTTGGGTTAATATGGGTTAGATAGGTATTAAATTACTATGTGTGTCGAGCATATAATACTATCACAGAGGAATAATAGTTTCAAATAGTTTAGAAAAGAACTTAATAGACAGGTATTTAATTTATAGAATATTTCTTAGAATATTATTTCAAATCATGAAATGTTATAATGATTTAACTTTAATCATATGATTATAAGTAATAGGTATACCTATGTGGTTGGTCATTTGACAGTTGGCCAGACCAAAAACAGTGTTTTTTACATTTTACAGTTAAAACATATTCCAAGCATGTTAATAATTATTATTACAATTTTAACTACAAAATCGAATCCACTACAAAAAAAGACATATCACATGACATTTTTATAATTTATTTTATTCATGTTTTGAATAAAAATCATTAGGTTTGTCGATTATATGTGTTTTGGTCGATTCGGGTGTTGTAGGATTTTAAGGGTTCTTACTAATATTACGGCACTAGTTGATTCAGACATTCAGGCCCAACGCCCTGATTTAATCAGGATAGATACATGCCGTGACACCAGACAGATATACAGTTTTTACATTCAAATTATTACTTAAATTATTTATTTGTAAAATTTTGAGACCTATTAAATATTCTTTAAAATTTATTCGTTATACTTTCTATACTTTCAGCATGTGGAATACTTATTAAAATCATAATATGCAATATCTTACTAAAATCTATAATGAATAATCCCATTACAAACTACTCCACAGGTGGCCAAGTGTCCCAGAGTTTTTTTGCTCCTGATTCATTAAGAAACTATCAGTGTAATTGGTTAAAATTTATAAATTATAATATATTACTTAATAATAAATTGGTACATACTTATATATACTTAATACGGATTGTGGAAGTTAAATAACATGCTTTGAAATAATAAGTAGGTACGTACACCATTTTATTTAAATACGGTTTCGTAAATATAGATTAAATCAGATAATATAATATCATCCAATATAGGTACCTAATTTATATCTAAATAGAGTATTAACTAAATTTTAGATACACATTAGGTTAGGAATTTAGGTTATATAATACAAAAAGTGTAATAATACATTTAAAAAAATTATATTTTTTCCCAACATGAAAAAAAACATTGTATAACATTTATTCAATATACGATAAACGTATACCTATTAACGATTTAATTTCTCAGTAAATTTATATATTTTCAAGAAAAATAATTTATTTATTTAAATATAGTACCTATATACAATTTTATTATAAAAAAATATTTGAATATCTAGTTGATTAATTTTGATTTATTATTCATAGAAATATAACAAAGAAGCCAAATTAGAAGGAAGAAATGGACAAATTTTGGTAGCAAACATTTCGAGTGTCATTAAATCAATGATGGATAAAAAACAACAATCTTTAAAAGTTAGTAACAATATTTATTTTTGATAATCAAGTTATGTAAATTAATTTTACATGATGTAATATACTCATATTATAATTTATATTATAATATTACCTATTTTGTAGAGAATTTTGGAAAGCGTTGAACAAGTTGCAGTTTCAGCCCACGACGATGCACCACCGGGTGATGAATATAAGGTTCGAAATGCAAAACCAAAGAAAGCTACTCCACATACTAACATATTATTAAATGATCTGAAAGAAAATTCACATTTTTACCATACTCCTGTAAACGCTACATATAGTTCTGTACACATACCAACTTATGTTTATGACCGGGGTAAGTCAAACACTGAACTACAATTAGGTATATAGTATTTATACTCCTACTCTGTAGTCCCTATACGTATAATAATGTTCCAGAATAAATAAATATTAATTATCATTTAAATATTTTTTTATGTAATCATTATTAATGATTATCAAATATTTATTACATTAATTTAGCGGCTGATGTAATCAAGGCTCTCAAATGGTCAGAAAACTTGGATGTAGCATTTAGAAAAAACTACGAAATAGATCCTAGATTGTCGTGGCAGTATTTTGGAAGTACAACTGGTTTCATGAGACAATTTCCAGGTACCTATATTCAGATATTCTACCAATATATTTTCATCGTAATACCTATTCGGTAAATAACTAATTCATATCGATCATTATTATGACCGACAATTTATACCAACTTTGGAAATGCTTTCGATTGATCGCTAAAAAAATAACTCGAATATCAAAAATGACAAAAAAAACCCCAAATATTTTGAAAATTATGTTATGTTTAGTAAAGGTTAAATGAATATGAATATTCGGTAAAAATGTCAGGTCTCTACAGACGGTTTTTTTTTAATTACAACAAAACAAAACAATCTTATACTACACATAGCAAACTTTAAGCTCAGCAGATCACGTTTAGCTCCCGTCAGTTTAAAAATTAGTGTGAATCGAATTATTATACAATTTAAAGATAAAATTATTATCTAGGCAATCTCATAGGTTTTATTATTATATTTTTATTTTAAAGCGTCTTATGAGTATTTTAAAATTGTAAATTGTTTGTACATCTTAAAATACTCATAACTCGTTTTAAAATTAAAATATTAAAAGCACAGGTTGTCTGTAGATAATAATCTTACCTTTAAATGTTATAGGAGGTCAATTCACTCAAATTTTAAACTAACATAGCTGAATCTGATCTACTGAGTGTAAAATTTGCTATATTACGCACATGTAAGACGGATGCGGGTGTCACGGCCTCCATTATCGAATAAGATTTATATATATTATAATAGTGCTTATAAGAAATTAGTAATTAACATACCCATCAGTATTAAATAAATACTCGATTTACGAATGTTTTGAACTACGCTGTTTAAAAATACTCTCAAATTTCTCAATTTATTTTAAATGTATTAATTTAACTAAATAATTATTGATAATTACTATAACTCGTCCAATTTCATTTGTAGCAATGGAATGGCCAGATAAACCAGATAATACAGAAGATTTGTACGACTGTCGAATGCGTCCTTGGTACGTAGAAGCAGCTGCCAGTCCTAAAGATATTCTTATATTAGTCGATAATTCTGGGTCAATGATGGGACAAAGTAAAATCATTGCCAGGCACGTGATAAATACATTATTGGATACATTATCAGTGAACGACTACGTGAATGTACTTGTATTTAGTAATGTAACGAATGAAGTCGTCCCGTGCTTCAAAAATTCACTCGTACAAGTATGCATTAATTATTTAACATCGAAAATTAAAAAAATACATATTTAAATGGATTTTATTTACAATTGTAAGTCAAAATTAATTATTAAATATTGAATTTATGTAATTTATCTTGAGATATTGTAGTATTATAAAGATAATTAAGTATAATTACATACTATAATTAACTTATCATGTGATAATTTATTAATATCCGATAAAAATATTCTTTTACACTATTTTAATTAAGAAACCTTAATAAGGATATTTTATTTCTTATTCAGGCTACACTTGCAAACATCCGAGAGCTAAAATTAGGTGTGGAAAATATTGCCGATCCAAATAATATCTCAGATTTTAGTATAGCGTTAACTAGGGCGTTTGAAACACTTGAAATGGTACTCAATATTTACAATAAATCAATGATTTATTTTTTATTATTATTTTGGTAAACATATATTTGATAAAATTAAAAATACGATTTTATTTTTAGTACCGTGAACGAAATATGGGTGCTATGTGTAACCAGGCCATCATGTTGGTCACTGATGGTGTACCAGAAAACTTCTATGAACTATTTAAAACACATAATTGGAAGAATGGTACAATGGGTATGCCAGTAAGAGTATTTACGTATCTAATTGGTCGAGAATTGCCTGAAATAAGAGACATGAAATGGATGGCTTGTGCAAATCATGGTAAATATTTTACATTTCGATTATCGAAAATTTTGAATTGAATTGATAAAAAATTGTAGTATGTAAGTAGGTAGGTATTAAATTTAAAACCATAAACAAATAGATAATGCAAACGACAAACTTTTTTTAATTTAGGGTATTTTGTTCATTTAAGTACGGTAGAAGAAGTTCGAGAACAAGTGGTACACTATTTACCGGTAATGGCTAGGCCCTTGGTGTTGCACCAATCCCATCATCCTGTTATTTGGACGCCGTTATACGCTGATGTTACTGTAATCATAATTTACCGTTTTTAACTAGTTCAAATATAAATTATTGGTATTTTTTTTAGGATCCAAAAATGACTGATTATCTATGGGAAAAAGAAGAATGTCAACAACAGTTTCATGATACGATTAGTTATAAAGAAACAAAAGACAAATTTTTCTATCCTAAGAATAGAGCAAAACGAGAACGAGATCGAAAAAAAAAAGTACATAGATACTTATATATTTTTTATCTAAATACTATATCTTAAAATGTTTTTAGGAGTTGGATCAAAATTTAAACGTGAATAGACAAAAAAAACACAATTTAATAACGTCTCTTGCGATGCCGGCATTCGACAAAAAAACTGAAATGGTAAGTTTATAAAAAATAATTTTTGAAGTCACATAAACATTTAATAATCATCTATTGCAATCATCAATTCATTTAATTTCTTTTATAAATTCATTTTAGAAGGATAAAAATTGTACCTACATTATTTTGGAACACTTTCAAAATATTAATATTTTGTATTCAAAAGCAACATTGGATTATTGATCTCACACAATTAAAATTATTTGAACACATACCACATTAAAATATTATAATTTATATATATATATGTTACGGTGAATGATGTAAACGTGGTAAATGTCGTCATTTACCTAAAAATTGGTAAATGTTGTAAATGTAGACATTCCCTGGTTATTGACGTGAATCCCCAGTTTAATTGGAGTATGATGTCCAATACATTTATGGGTAGAATTGTATCGAACTTTAAAAAAATAGTGTTGACTTTTAATAAATAGTTTTGACTTGAATAAATTGTGTTGACTTTTAAAAAATAGTTTTAACTTAAAAAATAGTGTTGACTTGAAAAAAATGACATTAAAAATTGTGATTTGAACTCGAGTGAAACTTTTTTACCCACTCCGCTCTGGGAATGTTTCCTTGTTTAAATTGATCAATACATTTATAATTTTATATAACTGACATTATATGTCATTAACTAGATATCACAATTCGTTATCGTAATGGGACGCAATACGACTACTTAACCGACGGATCATCCCATTTGTGTCGGTGTGAACCATCAGTGATAAGTGTATAGGTATTAGGTCAGTCGGGCTCAGACAGCCAAAGCGATAACTAGTGCACCACCGTAGTTTCGTAATGCGTCGCGTATCGTACCTTATCTATCCATTTAATTATCGCAACGAGGCATTAAAAACGTGTAATGGCCACGGTTTCACCAATTGTTATTCTAAACAAAAATAAAGTTCGCAAAAAGAAAACTATGGAAAATCCTACAAAGAGAGCTCTCTCGTCGACCTCCTCAAACTCCCCGACCTACGTGGATAAGAAAAACAAAGTTTTTGTAACACCAAATCGTTTCGAAGTTCTAGAAATGGAGGAACAAGACAATGTTTTCGTGCAAACAGAATCTCAGCTCGCCTCACAAAATATCAAGACCTCGCCAGAACCGAGTAAGATAAAACTCCCAAATATCGTACTAACAAACGTTACCGATTTTATAACCCTCAAAAATGATTTAACTAGCATAGTGGGACCAATGGGTTTCACATGCAAAGCTAATAGATCTAATATTATCGTTCGGTCAAACACACGCGAAAACTGGATGGCCATTAAATCATATCTGGTTGAAGCCGATTACGATTACCATTCTTATCTCCCCCGCTCCTCACAACCTTTCCGAGTCGTGCTACGCCACCTTCACCACTCCACGCCTACCGCGGATATTATAAACTACCTTAGTGACCTAGGGCACAAAGTCAACAGTATCTCAAAAATAATACACAACACGAACAAGTTACCACTTCCTCTATTTAATATAGGCCTGGCCCGCAACAACAATAATCGAGAAATATTCAAAATAACAAAAATATTAAACTCAATAGTGAAATTTGAATATCCAAAAAGGCGGTCTGATCCCCCTCAATGTCATAATTGCCAAAAATATGGACACACACGTAATTATTGCCATCACTATCCACGCTGCGTAAAATGCGGATCAGAACACTCAACTAACGAATGCACAAAACAACGGGAGGAACCCGCAAAATGTGCAAATTGTGGTGGAAACCACACCGCAAACTACAAAGGATGCCAATTGCCAATCCCTTAAAAAATTACTAAACCGCACCAAACCTAAAGCTAAAAAAATAAATAAAGAACAGCAACCTATTCCAACACTTGCTATACCGCCTATACCACCTCCATCTCGAAGAAGTGGAAATGAAGCCTCCAGTTCAAACTCAAAAGGAAAACCGTCATACGCCGAAATCGCAGCTAACAGACCACCACCCGATCAATCTCTACGCATCATCACCAAATTCCTCGACGAACTAAAATCTATACTCAACCCCCTTCTTACTGTATTAACATCCCTAATAAACAAAATAACACTCCCTATAACCCCTACTCCATAATACACACACACTCACACACACACACACCACATATTCCGTACATCAATAACACAAACACACAGTATATCAATATTATTATATACATAACTTTAAATTAAATTGCTATTGTTATTGTTATTGTTATTTATTTATAACTAACTTGTTAGAGGGTATCCACACTGGTGGGCCTCCCTCCTCATGCCTTTCATGTTGTTGTATTCTTTCATTACCAAATTTACTTATTGTATATAAAAATTACAGATTGTAAATATTCAATTTTATCTAATAAAAAAAAAAAAAAAAAAAAAAAAAAAAAGGTATTAGGTAGGCGACAAAGCTTCGTTAGTTACAAAACTGTACAAATAAATAATTTATAAAAATATTCACCTATTTTATTCACTTCAATTAACCTAACCTTTCATTAATTTCATTGAAATCAAAAATGATGAGACTCAAAAATGAATCACCCACCAACAATAAATCATTATTAAATAGTATCTATATTAAAACAATCAGTGTATAAGTGTATTATTTGAGATTTATCATCATTTACCACAAGTTTTGGTAAATTACGTCAATGACCGGTGAAAGATGTACATTTAAGTTTAAAATATGTGTTTTTACAACATTTACCTACATAATTGAATCATTTTGGTTAATGACGTCATTGACCGGGGAATGACGACATTTACCAATTTTCGTCTTTCACCGTAACATATACATAAATATATGCATAGTTAGTAGTGACAGTGCCGTAGTAAGACGGAGACTGGGAGCGCGTGTTTTTCCATCTCTTACTGAACTTTTTTTCATAGGTAATTGTATACATAGCCAAAGTGTTCAATTAAAATATTGAACTATAATGAATTATTATTTATTATTGAGAAAATTATCAGTAAAAATGTATTAATCTTTATTAACTAACTACAAATTTATTTTTAAAAAAAAATCCGGTTTACCCAGTCAATTAAATGATCTAAATCAACTTCTGTTTTCTTTTCTAATGATATGCATATACTAGAGGAAGATAACAATTTTGGTGTCGTTTCGAAGAGTTGTTAGGAACGTGTTTGGTAATTTCGAATGGTTTATTTTCTAATTTATGGGGAATTTGGACTGAAGTTGGAACGGTTTTGACGAGGGTATCTTTAAATGTTTAAGTCTAAAAATACAATTATTAAAAATGATGTACCTACGTATATAACTTGTTATTTGTTAATAACTTAAAAAGTAAGTACCTACGGTAAAAAAATATTGTTTTTGGTTAAATGCAGTTACCCTTAAAAAAAAGTTCTGGCTACGGCACATCATAAAGTGTCTTACTGTCATAGTGAACTGCATCACTTAAGTAACTAACTAGATTAAAGAACATACCTAGTTTTTATGATACTGTTGAATACTGTAAAACACGATGTTTTTAGATACTATATAAGCACTATAAACAATAAGCACTGAGAAAAATAACTTATCTACATACCACATTTTGTCATTACACATAGATAAAATATCAACACCAAAAATACTTGACTAGTTATGTTTTCTAAAAAATTTAGGAATGGATCCAATGTGTGATCTTGACTATTTTTTACTATTTTATAGTATTTTGTATCCATGAAATGTTCACTATGATTTACAGATTTGAGTGACAAGAGTATTATATTTCTCTGCACCACTGATCACTGTGGATATTTTTACCTTCGTATCTATAATTTATAAGAGTGTTTGTCAATGTCTCTTTTCAACTATAACCAATTAAAAAATCGACGTTGTTATTACATTATTAAAGTATTATACAATGTAAAACGCTGACGACAATTTTTGTTAATTATTGGTTGATCATTCGTTTTACCTACAACGGCTGCAGCCATGTTTTATTGTACATCGTATTTGTCGGTAGATCACACATTGGTCTGGACTCGATTTTTAATTATTGTTGATTCAAAAATGAGTGCGTCTCAGGCTTTTGATTTAACCATAACATTATAGACAAATGAATATATAAGTGATAAATAAAATAAAACTTCTAGGTGTTTACTATTATAAATTATTTATTTACTAGTAAGTTAATTAATCTAAATATTTAAATTATACGTACCTACTTATTATTTTAGTTGTAATACGTATAATACCTAACATATTTTATACAATAATAGTTTCATTAAAAATCACCTTGAATTTAATTAAAACCAGTAAAATGTATAAGTTCTAAACTTTATATTAGGTAGGTAGAAAATGATATTCTTATGTGTATAGGTTTTAAGTTCTGTTATACCTACTCACCAAAAAGTAAAAACATATAAATATATTATTGTATGCAGTGTGTGAATTTTTACAAATAATTTAATACCTGCAGATTGTTAAAAAAATATTTAATATATTTAAAAAAAAAACTCATACTAAACATGTTTAATAATTATTTCCCAACAGAATATCACAGTAAGAAGGCTAATAAATGATAACTACTGGGTTTGGGAAACAAGAGAGGTATTTAAAAATTCAGCAGGTAGTCTGCCATAATTTTTTTGGTCATCCTTAGAAAAATCTTAATATTTTTATAGTCATCATATTTTATTATAATAGTACATACATTTCTTTATATTGTGAAACTTATTCTTCTATGAGACAAATCTGTATCTATTATCAACTATATTATATACCTATTGTATTATTAGTAATTAAAATTAACTGTCGTCAAATATTGGTACCTACCTATCGCATTGGATAGATTAAATGTAACAATTTAGAACGCCTAGAGTTCTAAGCTTAGCATTAATATTTTCTTAGATAGAACTTCTAAATAATGGTGATGGTATAGGGATCTAATACGTTTTAATTATATTTATTTAGGTACCTACCTAGTTAGAAATAATAGTTAGAACTAATATTTGGTTTCAAATAGATACTTGGCCTGATTGAAACCCAATTCAATTTTGAAAAGGCGTTTTATATATTTTAATAAGAGACTAGCGCGTAGAGAATCAATAGTAATTTGAATTTTAAGTAAATTGTAGATATAAACATGAACCTTAAATTGATTTAATTTAAGCATAATAGTGTTAGAGAGTAGACCAATTTAATGTTATGTTGTTAGTATTATTTAATTTTTTCGTTGAAAAATATAACTAGCTGGTGTGCTGTTTTTAAAAGAGTTACTTACTTTAAACGTCGCACATTTATTATTAATAAATTATTTTTGTCAACATATTATAAGTACCTACTAACCTAAACAAGTTTAATGTTTGCAGACAAAAGTGGCCCATTTACTTGGCGTTGTCGGAACTGATGTTCCCGAAGCAGATTTACGAGAAGCCATGTCACCTCACATAGTTAGTGAAATGTGTTTTTATAATATTAAAAATATTTATACTATACCTATTTCTCTGTGTTTTTCAGTTGGGTGTCAATAACTATGCATTTATTGTTACTAACAACGGTTTCATTGTCACACATCCAGATCTCAGACCAGTAGTGAGTAAATTATAATTTAGATGTACATACTATTGAATATATTTTAGAACACATATTATTATTATTATTATTATTATGTGGTTATTGCAAGTATACATTTGTGTTAAAAAATGAAAAGGATAGAATAAAAGAAAAAAACAATTTAACGATTCCATTCTTTTCTTCCTCTTTTGTTTCTTAAATTAAAAAAAAAATGAACGCTAGTCATCACAACATGATAACGAAAATTCAGTCATTTTTTGACACTATTTCTCCAACATTTTTCAGCTCTTCTCAATATTACTATACATATATTATCATTAAATCGTGTAGAAAAATATTATCAATTATATTACCCATGCGTTATACGAAGATGAAGATCTTAATTGTATAAATTCGTTAAAATTAAAAGAATGTCATGGCTACTGGTGGCAGTGATTGTCACGGTCGGAGTTGTTAAGCGGCTTGTATCGATTCCGTCCCTTTTTTTATTGACTGTCCGCTATACTGTTCACAATAACTACCTATTGATTTCTCCGAGACTTAAATTTAAAATATAAATATTAAACATTATCAACTTGAAAGGTTCCTGTAGTTGGTACCAAATTATACTTAGGTATACGATTAATAGTTATATTTATACAACATCAATATTAATATTATCTTTAAGATAATAATATATATCTTAAATATCATCAAGACTACAATTTTATATTTAAATTGGATCTTTCCACTTGTCAAATTTATGGATTTTTCTAAATATTTCCAATGTATTGACACTTACTTTTTTGGTATCCATTTATAGTTCATTGAAATGTATCACATGTCACGTGTGTATTAATTTCAATATTTTTTTATAATGTTATGTGAATGAAATAAAGACTTCAAAATGTATAATAATTTTAAATTGAAAAAAAAATATTGAGTTTAGTATATAATGGATTTTAATCAGTTATAAATGATAGTGTAATAAAAATTAAAATAGATACCTACATATAGTTATAATCACATTATATAATGATTATATATATATTATATATGTATATAAATTATTAAATTTAATATTAAGACCTGTGTTATAAATGTATTACTTAAATAAGCAATTCAGTAAAATGCTAATGCGTAATAGTTAGGTTGGTTCCTACCATTTTTATAAATTAAAGATCGGTGGAATTGATATCTAAATGAAATTATGTATGAACAGCGGTCAGAAGCTGGCGGAATCAATGTTCAATAAACATAATATACCATTTTTAAAAACACTATGATATTATATAATCCCTTGCGGCAACTACCGAAAAAAAAGCAATCAACTATTTTTGATTAAATGCTAAATTTCGATTATAAAATTTCCCTGCGTGGTACCGTGGTAGACATTTTCAATTATAATCTGAATACCAAAACCCAATAAATATTTTAGCGATTCTACATCCTAACTATCCTATTTCCCGAACATTAGCAAACAACTTATTCTAAAGAGTATAACTAAGGTTTATTATAATATAAGAAAAAAGGTGGGTAAGTGGATGTCGCTCTGCTGTACAGTAGGTTACAAGTGGGTCACTGTATAATTGATGCTATTAAATTTGAATTCAATGATACAATATCATTGTATAAGAAAAACGATTCTGAGCGAAGACGGTATGTCAGTCTAGGTTAAGACAAATTATATACATATCTATGGTATTAAAAAAAAATTGACCTATAATAAATTCCAAATTAATCATATCACATTATCACAATATCCATTAGGTACTAATAACACGTTATACACCAACAACAAACCCTGATACTATCATATATATATAATAGTACACTTTAGAAGTTTCAAGTAGGTACCCACGAATAATATTATATAATCACAACAAAATAACTAGGTTTTTTAATATGTAATTTCGTCAAAATTTGAACATAAAATGACTATAAAAATAAACTGTGATTGTATATTTTTTAGATTTTTCGGTAAGAGAATTAACTACTTACGTGGAATCTTGTTTTAAATTTTCAATCCTTAGCTATAAAAACTGAACATTTTATAATTTATTAATTACGATGATTAATAATTTTCGAGATTTTGAAAAATTCTGTCAAAATTCGATGTTAAAATGCTTATAAAAAAAAATTGTGCCTATGTATTTTTAATATTTTTCAACTGATATTGTAACAATATATCAGGAGCCTTGTATTAAATTTTTACACTTTTTGGCCCAACAGATAAAACTTAATTAATATTTATAGAAAAAAAAAACTAAAAAAATTGAAAACTGAAAATGTCCGTAAACGGCTCAAAAAGAGTCAAAATATTTTCAAAATTGTATGGTGTATAGAAAATGCTAATATAAACATTCAGTGAAATTTTCATGTATCTACAGTAATTCGTTTTTTAATTACAACAAAAAAAGGAAATTGCCACATGAGAAATCGAGTGAATATCCAATGTTGTAAAAATTTGAATTTCAAACGCTCATAAAAATTTAATTTGACTTTCCGGTAGAGATTTTTTTATTGATAAAGGTAGACAATCTTATGAGTAATCTTGTATTAGATTTTCAAATCTTAGATTTAAAAAGAAAAATTTTTACGAATTCTTAACTCAAAATAATTTGCTAATTTTCGTGATTTTTCCATATTTTGTCAATTTTTGAACTTTAAATGCTTATAAAAAAAAATTGTGACTAAGGATTTTTAATATTTTTCATCTGCCCTTGAAACAATATATTAGGAGCCTTCTATTAAATTTTCAAGCTTTCGCAACCAACAAATAAAATTTTATTGATATTTCTAGAAAAAAAACAAAAAAAAAACTAAAAATGAAAATGTCCCTAAACTGTTCAAAATAAATCAAAATATTTGAAAATGTTATCGTGTATAGAAGATGCAAATATAAACAACCAGTGAAAATTGCATGTACCTACGGTCATTTGTTTTAAAGTTACACCAAAAACCAAATTCAATTTTCTGAAAAATCGATTTTGCGTAAAAATTCCCGTTTTTCCTTAATTTTTCTTTTGTTTTTCCCGGCGCTCTTGAAAACTACTGGGAAATTTAAATTTTGACCTCCCCAATGCACCAACGATATTCACTTTCCAATCGAACAAGATACTGAAGTCGAAAATCGAAACATTATTTCGACTACTTATCGTGTACACAGACACAAAAAAAATAAAAAATAAAATAAAAAAAAAAAAAAAAAAACACACATCATTGTAAAATCAATACATTCATCGTTTCACTCAGAATCTAAAATGTATTGTCTCACAATCAGTTTGGTTTTCGGGAACGATAATTGACTATATACATCAAATTCATCGACTTATTGACTTAAGATCACTTAGTTTGGAGAAAAACTTGCACGACAGTTTTTTTAGACGTTTCTCAGAATCTCAGATATATTGCAAACCTTGTAACACCATTCCACCATCAAATATATTTTAATTTTTAATCTCTACTATCTAGTTTTCTCCACTTGTCAACGAATGTCTGTATCGATAAATAAAAATAAACACATATTAAACTTACTGTCTAAAATGGATGTATATGGATTGTATATTTCTAAAAAAAATATATTTATTATATCACACAAGTGTTATGAAATCCTGATCATTTTTATAACACAATTTTTTTATTTATTTTATATGTAATATAATATGAGTTATTGATATTGATGTAAACATTTGTAGTTTTTTGTTTAATGCTTATAAAATATAAATAATCTGATAACTAATACGTTTATACATTTCATAATAAAATATATTTATTAGATTGGATATACCTAAGTGAAATTCGCTTTTACAAAAATGAATATTTTTAGTTTGGAGATATTTTGAAGCCAAATTACAATAGCATCGATGTGACTGAAGTGGAGCTAGTAGATTCCGACAACATCGCAAGGGTGTTTGATCGAAGTATACTCACGGTTAGTACAATAATAAACTTTACATGATAGGTGTTTATAGTTATTAATTTTATTTTTTAAATGTAAGTATACCGTTATTATAATCATTAATCACTATCCAAAGAATGGATATCCCTGGTATCCTGGGTACGTATACGGAAAGTATCTGGGATAGTATGTGTTCATCATAGGAAACGGATACACCATCAAAGGACTTTGGTAGTATGATTGGTCGGCATTCATGTCGTCCACCGTGGTGGAGCCAGACGTCTCTAGAACGTCTACCGGCACTTGACGGGTCTTAGGTTTCCGATCAGTTCTTAAATGATCGTGTTCGACAACAGCTGATTCATTTTTCTGGACGGTGGAGGAAGTGACGTTTTTTTGGAATTCCGTTGTCTTATTCTGTGGTGTTAAAACTTTGCCATCATTGGTAATCGCTGGATTGTCAGTCTCGAGAACAGGTGTTGTTTCGTTTTGTGGTGAAAGAATGTTTTCGATGACATTATCTGGACCCTCAGACTTATGAATAACAGTTTTGCAATCGAAACGAGAAAAAGTAGCTACAGCTATACAAACCACCTATTAATATACGAAGAAAAATAATTAGCATTATTGGTACCTAGAATATTAAAGTTATTATAAATAAATAATGATGGCAGTCGATTATGTTTTAACTCAAATTAGTTGTTGAAAATAACTATTTTGACCCAATTTGTAATTTTGTATGTACCTATAAGATGAGTTAAATTAACTTAAATAACCTTTAAAATTAAAATCATAAACAATTAAATGTTACTATTCAATAAATAATACGATGAAGATAGAAATATCAATAACATTTTAAAAAGGTACGGACATGTGGGAACTGATATCTTAGAACGCACTGATCAGGTTATGGACTAAGAATTCATATTATATACTCCGTCATTATCCCATGGTGCCCATATTGATTACGTATCAAGCAAAGCTCTGCGAATACTTGGCTTTGTGAGCTTTAAGTACTATACAATATTACAGCGTTTCTTAAACTGTGTTCCCTAAAACTCTCATTAAAATTAAAATTTAGAAGTCCTGTTTGTCTGTCAAATCATTTTTTTAATTAAAAACAGTATAGGTACTGCACATTATTATTGTATGAAATTATTTTTATTTTTATTTTAATCTTTTTTTTGGATTAAATATAGTATACACATTATCAATATAAGGAATTATTATAATTTGTATTGCAAATAATCTTTACATAAAATCATGGATTGACTATTGAAACAAAGTGGGGGTTCTAATTGTCGAGCTGTAATAACTTATTGTTGAAAGCTAAATAAAAAAGCTAAAAATCTAAAAAAAAAGTAGGGGTTTCACGATAAAAGTGGACATGAATAAGGGTTCCACGGATAGAAAGTTTAAGAAACGCTGCAATATTATATAATATAATACGTATTTTAGATTTCAAATAAGACGTAGAGCTTCATATCATACTTTGATCATTATTAAAATAAAATAATTTGTAAATAAAATGTATTTTCTGTATGAACTGTATGCTATTTAATTTATGAGTTTATAACAAACACTACAAAACAAATAGTTTTATTTTATAAAAATATTATTTTTTAACCCTTTACCAGCAATATTTTTAAATAAAAATTGATGAGTGTAATTGCAATTATGATTACGATGTCCCATTCGTTATATGGAGTTCAACAATTCGAAAAATAAACCTTAATTTATAAAAAAAAATAGGTATACATAATAGTATAATACTATAAATTAAAAATTATATAGATAAAAAAAATTGCAATATAGTCTCTCCTAGAAAATTTTTTCAACATTTTGTTTATAAAATATAATTTATATCATAGCTAAATCTATACACGATCTATTATTTAAAAAATATGTATTTATGAATACCATTTACTTACAAAGGTCCGAATCATTGTTCAATTTTAGATGGCTATTTCGAATAGGTACGTAAAATTATAGTTGACGAAACAAACATAAATGGCGTCTTCTGAAATTATTATACTGTCTTTTATAATATTGTGATCTCGGAAATATTTCCAGTTCATCAAAATCATGGTCACTGGGTATATTCGAATGCCACTTGAACTATAGCTTAACTAATCAATTCGATATTTTCCGCTAAACTTAATGTTTTATTTAAAACCATATTAATCGCATTGTGTTCACGCATCAAAAACTAAATGTTTTGTCTTTTGTACATTTTACAGCTTCGTGATTATATCATCAATCAAACAACTGGCGATCGAGAAATTACTGTGAAGTATCATTACGACGATATGGTAAATCATTTATATTTATTGAAAAATAAAATAATTAATTAAATGTTTTATGTTTATGTACTAAATTGTACTTATAATAACTTTCTATTAGGAAAATATATTTTATTATTTTGTTCACAATTTGGTTTTCCTATGGGATGCATCTACATATTTAATTAGTTATCAAGAGTATTACTAAAAATTGTATCTAGATTAAATTCAAAATAAAGTTTTATACAATATAATTATTAATTTATAATACTGATAATCAATTATACTTGCTCACTAATTAAATCATTAAATAATAAATAATAATGAAAATATTTTTTTTTTTTTGTAAATTTTATTTCATTTTCTGAATAATATGACAATCATGAATCAATTGTTATCATAACAACTTGATTATGAATTATGAAATAGTTAAGACATCTAATACATATTATAACAATAATCAAATATGATGTAATCTGTAGAATTAAAAAATTGCTGATTAAAACGAACAATATGTATTATGTATGTTTAAAAGAGACGTGCGATAACAGCAGAGAGGCATTATTATTATTCAATAGTTGAAGGAACGCCGTTTACAGTTGTGGTTGCTTTACAAGAAAAGCACTTCGGTTACAGAGTCAAAATACCAGACAGATTTCAAAATCTTAATACAACAAGTAATTTTTCATAAAAATAATCTGATCGGTAAAATTTAATTTAATAATGTAATATATACTATATTATAGGATCATCCCTTTTGGACTATTTCAAAGACGACGAGTGGAGAGTTCATCCAGATTGGTAAATTATATTTCACTATCACTCTACAAAATCAACACACTAATAATATGAATACATTTAATATATTTAAATAAATACGTACCATTCAATTTCAATATCAACTATCATATGCGTATATAAGCTAATTTTATTTTTATTAAAAAATTTCAATGAAAAATGTCAGTATTCTATTATTACATTTCTTCACCATAATATTAATAATTTTCTACTTGGAAATTTCAAATTATTAGGCTAAAATTGTTTATATATTGCAAATCGTATTGATGATCATACTATATTAATTCAAAGTGTGGTGCATATTACCAATTATTTATTTTCAGGCTTTATTGTCGATATGCTTACGATGATGGAGATGATACGTCATTTAAAACCCCTGAAGATGAACTTCGGCATTTTTTGAAGCGAATCGCCAAGACTGATAATACTTGGAATAAATGGCCACCTCCGAGATTTTACAGTGAATCATACGACTGTAAGTACACCTACCTTCTGCTCCAAACAACCTGCTACCTATAGCTATACCTTACTTATTTAAAAGTAACATTAAACATGTGTACACACTAATAACAATACCTTTAAATATAATATATGTATTAGCTTTATAAATAATGATATAATATATTCTTAACGAGCTATAGGATTAGTAATTATTTGTTTTCGCAGCAAAAGGGGCGACATTGCCCGAAGAAAAATTCGATGGCAAATGTTATTGTGAGTTGAGTGTTAATATTTTTGCATGATCAAGCTTGATCGCAGTGTTTTGTGCAAGTTTAAAATTGTGGAGTATAACATTTATTTTATTTTTTTAATCGGTATGTTTGGTTTTTATAATTCTGGACACACAAACTCAAGAATTTTTTACCACTGAGGGGCGCCTCGTAAATGTTTCTCGGGGGTTCTATAAATTAGGAAATTTGATGATAAATTTCAATCAAATAATAACAAATATTTCAATACATTTTCAACAAATATGACGAGTAGAGTTGTAGTTGGTATAATTTATTTTATTTTATTATCAAACATTGAAATGTTCTCATGAGAATATTAAAAACCATGTTTTGTTTTTAGATTTTGATCGAACGGTGAATGTATTGGTTTTACGGTGGTTTGTGTTTTTCTAAACCAATGTTTTTTTTTGTGTCTGTCGTCATATTTTGCAATGAAACCGCTTCAAATTTCAACTTTGTGGGTGGTTTCTGGTAGCTATTTGGATATAGATGGTATTTATTTTTTTTTGTGTAGTTGGAAGGTTTAAAGTAAATACCATGTCCTTTAATATAAATGGAAAAACGAAAGTAATATTAGATAAGTAATAAGTAATAACCAATAGTCTCATATAATATTATGTATTATATGATGAATATTATAAGTTGTAGTTAAAAAATATCAATAATCATTATAATATTATAAATCAAAAGAGAATAATAATAAAAAAAAAAGTTCTAAATAGTTAGGTAATATCATTGATTTTAAATAATTAGAGTTTATAATCAATAGTAATACTATTAATTACATTTTTAAATACTTAGTTTACTCATAGTAAAATAGATAAGCTATCAATTGTTGCGGTACTATCATTAGATCATGTCATTAATAAAAAAAAAATCATTAGATCATAATTTTTATATTTTTTTTTTTTTTTTAATTGTAATATCTGTTTTATTAATTTTTTTATTTAATATTGAACATATATTAACGTAAAAATGTATGTATTTTTAATGGTTACAGTTTATGTATTAATTTGTTATATACTTTATTTTCATTTAAATATGAAGTTATGTGAGTTGATGATTTTAAAAGTAGACCTAACCTTTATAATACCTACTTAAATTTATGAAAAAATATAATTCTCATTTCTCAGAATAAAATATAAATAACAGGTTATATATGTTAGGTAAACAAATAATAACACTAAAATTTATAAATTACATTAATATCGTGTTTGTGAAGTAATATTTATCATAACCTATTTCATTTTTAATTATCGTGCATACATTTTTTTATTTTTTTATTTTATTGAGCTTAAGCCCGGCAACTATGGTCATTAGCTGTTTTAGATTCTGAGCGGAGTGATGAATGTATATTTTGTTTGTAGGGGGGAGGAACGGTTGATTGAAACACGTTTGTATGTGTGGCAAGTTTGTATGTGTAAATCCCGGGCGGTCACCCATCCGAGAGCTAGCTACACCCGCCGATGCGTACATTCAGAGGATTTTTGCAGTTGAGTGTAAGGTCCGCTCCACACCAAGCCACCGTGCATAAATAATATTATTTCTTGATTAAATTTTGTTCATTGTCCAAGAACAATATAATGTACATTTTTTTTTGGTACCTATAAGTTATCTACCTATATTTATATACAATAAAAATTAAAAGTACCCTCCGACAACCTCCTTATAAATGCTTTTTTCCCCTACAAATTCTATATTATGCCATCTGTTTCAATTAGTGCAATAAGCTTAAGTTATAAAAACAATAAATAACGACATATAAAAAAAAAACAGACAGAGAGAAGAGGCCTCCCAGTGGAGGTACTTCAACGCGTTATCCAATGTTTATAAATTAGAATCTTTTTTTCTGTGATTTATATAAGTTTTACAAACGTGTTACATGTTAGTTATAATAAATTGCACTTGATTTTAAAAATGTACACGATTTTTTTTTTGTGTTCCGTTATAATTTGGCTTTGATATTATTCGCTTGCAATATTTAACAAACATAAAGCAAATATAAAGATTTAAAACTCGTAAATCAGATATAGAAATTTAAAAAATTTAAAATTAAAATTATCCAAACAGCATGGCTTACAATAAATAACAACGAATTATGATGCATGGACTTTCAGTAACAAATACTTAAAGTTTATTGTTTTCAGGTGATAAAGATCTTATGCTTAGTTTGATATACGACGCCAATATAACTAAAGGTATTTTTACAGAAGCTAAAAATGATACAGAAAAGAAAAAAAAGTAAGTTATATTATTGGCTTGATTAATTTTAGCTTGATGTTGAAATTCACGAATCAAAAGTGCACAATATACAATATATAGTTAATAAAATTAATAAAAATTATAAAAAAATATTTGTGCAATAACGTTTTATTGGAATTCCTTAATTCAGCATAAGCTACTACAATTTTTCCTTACGCTTGTTTTGATATTTATGACGTGATGTATATTACATATACTCATATAATTTAATAAATATTTCTGTCCTATATTTTTATTGATTTGATTTTATCAAAATTCATGAAAGCAATAAACTTTATAGTACCTATCCAAAAAAACGTTATTATACTATGGGCTTATTTATTAGTTTCGAGAAAAATTAAAAATCACATTATATGCACTACCTACTCACGCGCTTTTATATATACTCACATTGATATTTTTCACGTTAACACATCGCACTATTTTGTCTTAATGAAGTCCAGCAGCGGTCTTGATGAGTTTATTACCAAGGTAAAGTAATTGTATAGGTCAGTTGAACAAATTTAATTAAGATCTATTGCTATGTATGTGTTTTTAGAACTGAATTTGAAAAGAGATTTGGAGTGACATTGGCTTTTGTTGCTACCCATAGTGGTCTTACCCGATGGATGGATTATGAAGACAAATCCAAGACGCCTCTCAATTCCGATGACCATGAAAAACAACAACCGTAAAATTAAATATTCAATAATCTAACATTCATATTATAAATTATCATATATTACATACATTTTACTCAATTTATAGACATTTCATTGACGAGAACGTTTACTCTATCGAAGAAGTATGGTATAGAAGGGCGGTTGAGTACAACATGGTAAACGACGAAAGCTATGTATATTCTGTACCATTTGATAATGGTAAGCAATCGTTACACTTCAAGATTTATATTTAATAAATTTGTAGTGTACTGTACTACTGTGTACAATTGTAACTACCATCATTAAATAAAGTAGGAATCCATGTTTGTGACTGTCTTTAATATAACTTAACGTTTTTACATTACCACAATAAGGTACATAAACCATTGCAATAAAAAAAATTGTTGATTGTTTTCGAGTATTTTGCTTTCATCGAATTCTAATTACTTAATATAGTTACGTCTTACGTTTATTTACTACCGAAATAAATTTAATTTAATTTAAAAAAAAAATAAATATTTTAGACTATTTTTACCAGTTTTTTTTTTTAAATATTTAGAAAACATTAAATCAACATTGGTAACAGCAAGTCAAGCGGTTTTCGTTACGAGTAAAGAAAATAAAAAGAAAGCTGCCGCTGCAGTTGTCGGTTATCAATTCAGACATTCGGCTCTTCAAGAATTGTTTTCTAACATTACAAAACAGGTAGATTTTGATGATGATATTATTTAACTATTAAAGATAGTTTGAATAAAAGCCAATATATTTTTATAAAAATAATTATAGTGTTACTCAGAAACTGGTTGTACACCGGCAAAGGACACTTGTCAATCCATAGAACGAGACTGTTACATACTTGACAACAATGGTTATATTATTGCATCGGAAAATGCAATGGATACTGGAAAGTTCTTCGGTAACGTCAAAGGACCAATTATGACTATGATGGTAAACGAAAAGATATACAACAACATAACAATATTTGACTATCAAGGAGTATGTTTTAAGCGAGAAAATGAAGACGATTCGAATAGTTCATCGTTTTTGTATACTGTAAGTATTTTTATTATATTAGGTAATTATTATAATTTTTAAAGTACACTTTTCCCAGATTTTTCTATGCCGAATTTGTCTTTACTTATATTTTCTTTTTAGCTAAACTTCTTCTTGATGTAAAAAAAATGAGTTTCCACTTTCCGACCGCTCTTCTTTGAAATATACCTTAGCATACATTAGGATACCTTAGTCATCATAAACTTTAAATAACTTCTCAATTTAAATTATCTACTGTAATTTTTCTCTAATTTTACTGATTTAAATTTTCTGTATATGCCTGTGTAATGGGCTACAATCAGTACAATCTTTAATGATAAAGTATATATAAAGCAAATCATTAGTTAATTATTAATCTTCATTAAAAATAGGTAGGTATATTTTTAATCACACGGCGTTATAGATAGGCTATTTAGCTACACCAATGTCATGTGTCCATTTTCAGGAGTATTTGGCCAATAAACACATTAAAAAAAATATATATATTTAAACATTCTTATTGTGGGGTAGATTTTTTGGGATGCTAGATGCTAATTTTGAATTCTAGTGTGCTTCTACTAGTATACACTAACTAATAATATTCCACTTCCTAGTTCCATTAATACTGAATGTTATCTAATAAAAGCTGTTAGTAAACAATGAAAGAATAATTATTCATATATAATATATTATAGGTATTATATTCGATTTCTAATACGTTTAATTAATACAATTTTTTTCGATAGCCGATACATCATTTAAAGCAATTAATTGGATGGCTAATAGGGCGTGTGTTATGGTTGGCTGCTCATTCCAATTTTCAATGGATGTTGTCTCAGGCTCAAGCCATATTCGAAGATGGTTAGTATAGTTATTTTAACGGTTTAATCATTATGATTCTTGTTTTGATTTAATGGTATTGTGATTGCGGTATTCAGTTCCAGACTACCAAGAAGATGAAGAAAGTATCTATTCTGCCGATACTTTAGCCAGTTTTAAGATTGAAGGTGAAAAAGCATTAAAATACGTTAGAATTAATCGAACTCGACCGAAATCTTGCGACCGTGTCGTCAATTTGTACACGCTAACTTCGAAGATTCCAGAAAAGGTTGAACATAAATCTATGTGTGCCAGGTAATATATCAAATACATTTGTATCTAAAATTGAAAATATTTGTTGTGGGGTTTTGATATCAAAGCATTTAAAGCTTCTCCTCTATCCCCCTCCTTTATCGATTAACCTAGCGGTATTTCCCGTACCTATAAACTATGTCGTATTGAAAACGTCACAATCAAATTATTGTATATCATAGTCCGTGTGCGTTCAATTTAAAAGTTCTAATTAATAAACCATATAATTTAGGTAACTAACATAATATTATCTTCGTCCTGATTAAATGAAATAAATAATTATATTTAGTTTAGGAGTAAGATTTTTTGAAATAGGTACCTAATGTTTTCTAATAATGAATGAATAAAAAGGTGGGGAAGTGGACAAGTGGGTCACTGTAATAATGGATGGTGTTAAATTTGATAAATGAAATATCATAATACATTGTACAAGAAAAACGATTCTGAGCGAAGACTGTCAGTCAGCCTATTATATTAGTATAGGTATTACTAAGTATATTTGATGATATTATTGTGAAAGCAATACTCTATGACGAGCATACCTATATATAAAACCAACAACTTTATAACCGCCTTTATTTTAATTGAAGTTGGCCACCATCATAATATACATAGGTGCAGCAACCTGCAGACAATGTTTACAAGTTATACCTATATATTGTGTCCCAGGGTGAAGTATTGAAGTGGCCGTATAATGTCGTATGGATACAGTATTTTATGAATAACTCTTTTATTATTTAGATTTTGAATGAAAAATAAATGTATTGATTTTACAATGATGTTTTTTTTAAATTTTGTTTATATTTGTGTCTGTCATCACCTTTAAGACAGTAAAAATGCTTAAATTTTCTTCAACAGTGTCCTTTCTGATAGGAAAGTAAATCTAGTTGGTACTTTGAGGTCAAAAGTAAAAATTTCCCAGTAGTTTTCAAAAACGCCGTGAAAAGCAAAACACGGGAATTTTTACTCAAAATCTGTTTAAATGTTATATAATATTTGTTTTTAACAGGCCTTATGAATTGCGAAAAATAATGAACACCAACCTTATCTTACTGGTCGTTAATGGACGTTGTCCAGAAACAACGAAAGCCGAAAATTTCGATACCGTGCCAAAGGAAGTTGAATATGGAGAGTTCAATAATTCGTTGAATTGTCACAAAGCGTTTTATAGTTTACCACGCCGTAGACCTAAAACCGCTTGCATTAGGACACATCCAGACGTAAGTATATTCCTACATAACTATCATTGCAATCCGCTAACAGATATAATTATATAAACATTAAAATACCCATGTTTAAAATTCACCTATTTATGTACCTTTAATCTATATCATGTGTATAGTGTATGCCACCGTATGGGATAATATATTTGTACATAGATAGGTACCTAATATAGGTAAATCGATGACGACAAGTAATGCAATAAAAATTAATACAATAATATCATATTATACAAAGTTACAGTAACGTATCTGGGATTTTTTTCAATGGGGGAAATGCGATTTTTAATAGACATTCAGTTTACACATATTATATTACACATGTTGTATTGTGTACAACATTTGTTCTCCGGGTTGGGGGATATACGATACCCCTCCCCCCAGTGGCGTATAGCGAGTCATGTTTTTCAGAAGCAATTGCTTCTGGTTTCTTGGGGGAGGTGATGGGTCATAACCTCACAAAGCCCACATACACGGACAGTTTTTGAACTTTATTTTGGATGCTACCCCACCCCACTATTTGAGGATTTTGAACATATGAGTATCGTATACATCAGTTGTGGTGGGGTAGGTCATAAATAATTTGTTTGCTTCCATATGATTTAAAGTTCGCTACGCCACTGACTAGGTATAATGTGTACCTAATATTCTAATTTATTTTAACTATGGTCAATGATGGTTAGTGGGTACTGTAATAAACTGGATAATATAATCATTAATTTTTTTTTTTTTTTAGGAGCACGAAATTTACGACAAAATGTGTGGCAAGGGTACAATAACTACAGTTACGCCAATAACTTTATCAATAGTTTTTTTTTCTATGTTTAATTTTATAAGGTTTTTATAATTTTTTAATTCTAAATCAAAAATTTAAATTCTCTTACTTATGTATCGATAAATATTGTTCATGGAGCCATCTTTGTTTTTAAATATTTTGTGATTTTGTCTATTGCGTCTATTACAATTTAATATACGTTAAATCCTGCTATTATAATTTTATGATATTAATATTATATGATATTATTATATTTTGATGTGTAGAATATTTAATATTTTCTACCAATGAGAATTATGAATATAGTATTATTAACTACCCAATATTCCATTTCCATACATATATACGAGGGTAAGTAGGTAAGTTTAATACAATATTTTGTTTCCCCGTGTCATATAATGTTATTATAATCTTAATTTATTATAATACTATCCAAACAACCAAACCTACTTATATAGTATGAAGTAATTTATTTAACAGTCTTGGACGAAAATAATTATGAATAATACTATACTATTGCTATATCTTAATTTGGATTTATTCTATAACAATAATACTATTTAGTACCCATGACAAATTTTTGACATAAAGGAGAAAAATAACTTATACTCTGTCCAATGATAGAATACACCACGGTCAAACAAATGTCGATTCTTCTACGAGACAACCTGTCATAATGGAAGCAGTCTCGATGGGTATTATGTGAGGTTGTGAAGAATTCTTTTGCTGGATAAAGTATAAATCCAGCCTTGCCAATAGCCAATAGGTAATTAAATAAATTATTACTTACTATTTTAATTTAAACAAACAGAAGAAAAGTAGTAATTATAAGATTATAAATATCACAACAAATAATCACAGACAATCATAGCCCACAGTTTATATTAGCTAAGATAATGTTCAGAATTTTATATTTTGTTGTTTTACTAAAATTAATATTTTATTTTTGATGTTAAAAAAACACCACTGTAAAACCAAAACATTCCTCGTTCTGTTCAAATAATAATATATATTAAATTTCAATGAAAAATTATTAAATAATTAAACTTGCTATGAATCTTAATAAATAAATAATTTATTTAGACCATAATATAGAGGAAAAATCAATAACTATATAATTGTTTTAATATTTATATCACACCAAAAATATTGTTTACAATTATACTTCAAACTTAACCAAATAACTTGAAACTCTACGCAAGTTGAAGAACAATTTCATTTTTAGTTTAATTTTGTACAGAAATACTTTCAATAAATTCATTAAAGAGTATTTTTTTTGCTCTTTCTTGTAACTCAATGACTACCTTATCCAAATATTCCCTGCCTTCTAAAAACCCAACTAAGTTATGGAAACTTTTAGCCAGACGATGATCGGTGATTCGATCTTGATTAAAATTATATGTTCTAATTTTTTCCGATCTTGCACTAGAACCAACCTGAAAACATTATGTTAATATAATATGTTATTGAATAGTAATTAAAATTCAAAATAATAATCACTGGTTAATTAAACTATTATGTTTGAAGAATTTACTTGTTGTTTTCTAGCAGATCTAGTCAACGATTGTTGTTGCTCGAGTTGTTTTTTATAAATGATTGCTCTTAATTTTTGTAATGCTATTTTTCTATTTTTAATTTGTGATCTGTCTGTTTGGCACTCGACTATAACACCTGATAATGATAAGGAAAAATTATAAGAGACAATATAGTAAAGTAACATGAACTCAAAACATTATTTGAACATTTTTTTTACCTGTTGGCTTATGGTGCATTCTTATAGCACTGTCAGTTTTGTTGACATGTTGGCCCCCTGCACCGGATGCTCGCTTAGTTTCTATTATTAAATCTTTGTCATTAATCACCACATCTAACTAAAATAAAAATTTGAATAAAAATAATTCTTTTTAAATTGTTATTAAAATTTATAATAGGTAATAAATAATTATGAGAAATGTAATATTTATATTAAATTACATAAATACATATAAAAACTAATTCATTAGATAGAACATTATTTAATATAGTTTTTGTAACTTTTAGTATACTTAAATACATATTACTGTCTTTTATAAATTTATAATTATAATAAAACGAGCAATATGAATGCGGTTGTTGGTAACTTGATTGGTCAAACACATACTGTTTTACTATTTTTAAACTATAAATACTTATATTACTTCGGTGGCTGAGGTAATATGGCTACTGTTACAGTACTAGATGAATTCTTCCAGACTTTTCTGTTTTTGGGACGCGTTGAACTCGATGTACACCACCTTCATGCTGCAGCAAACTGTAACAATCATTGCCCGACAGCATCAGACATGCATGACGTATACCTCCTGTTAAACCACGTACATACAAAATATAAGATATTTTTTTTTTAAATTAAATTTTATATATACATATGAGTGGGCCTGAGAGAACTTGCCCAGGAGTTCAAAAATATAGTTACATTAAAATAACAGGTAATTATATAAAAAAAAGAAAAAGTGGTACATTTTTTAAAATATGCAATCATAATACTATCTAAAAATGTTTAAACTAAAATTAACTAAAAATTAATTATACTATATTGACAAATACTGTAACATTAATTATATAATTAATTTTACACGAGACTCCAATAGCCATTGCAAAATTCTTTTTTTAATAAATCAGCTTGAACGATTATTATTTTGGATGGTATTTTGTTACATAATTCTGTACCAATTACTTCAAAATGACTACTATATGTGGATTTTTTTAAGTTTTTTTAATTAAAAAAATTGTATTTTGCATACTAGGATAGCCTATATTTTTTGTAATGGGTGATTTTACTTTAAGATTACTTAAAAACATAGAAAAAAACGATTTTGAGCTAATGTGTTTTGTCTATGTTGCGCATGGGCCAGTGAGAGAAAACAAACAGTGAGCTGACATCCTCTTAGGTATGAAGAGAACAACCGTAAAGCTTTATTACGTAATCCTAGTTTATTTAACTTGAGTAATAGTATGTTGTGATCAACAGTGTCAAATGCTTTCGAAATATCTAAATAGACTGTTGCAGATTTTTACTCTCATTTAAAGATTTGTAAATAAATTGTGTCATTTCCGTGATGGCTTGATCAGTGCCTTTATATTTTTGGAAACCATATTGGGATTGATGAATAGTATTGTTAGTTTCAAGAAATGCTACCAGGGCCGTCTCGAAAGACAAATCATGGGGGGGTGGTTTGATTCATAATTTGCCAACTCCAAAAAAAAATGTTCTCGCTTCGCTCGACAATTACCTCCTACCTGCGACTACATGCATAGTAGTCAGTAGACAAATGTTATACAATATTAAATATTTTATTATGTTCTTACTATGTTCTTTTATTATATCAACAAAAAATATTATAATAAACTTAACAGTTAACACTAAATTTATATACGTCGGTTTTTAAAATTGACCATTGATGTGCTATTTTATTTATATCCAATAGGTCAACACAATATCTTTTTCTACTCCCAATACAATTAAAGAGTTTAATCTCTCATCAGAAATTGTTGACCTAAGATGTGTTTTAATCAATTTTAGTTTACTAAAAGATCTTTCGTTTGATGCGACTGTTACAAGAGAAGTCAATGCTAAACGACAAATTTGATTAGCACATGGTAAAATATGTTTTACTTCTTCTGTTTTTTCCATTAAAGAATTAAATGGTAATGTTCTATCTTCTTGTAACATACTAAATAATATTTCTAATTCTGTTTGAACTAAATCATAATCTAGAAGGTAAGCACCTACACTGCTTGGTGGGAACAAAGAAATGAAATATTGCTTTTATTAAATGGTTGAGTAAATAATGGTTGAATAGAAGAAATACATGATTTTTAATTATCATTTGTTAGTTTTAATAGGGTATCTAGAACCATTTTAAATTCTTTTCTATAAAATAGATGCATTGTGAATTCAGCTTGGGTTGTGACTTGTGGCATTACAATCATATCGTTTAGGAGCTAATCTTTTACGATGATGGTTTTTAAAATCAGCGCACAATTCCTTATCAGTTATCATTACAGCTTTATTAAAAATAATTCAATGATTATATGACAGAATATAATATATTATGAAATTTCATATATTCTGTGATTATTCGAATATGTATAGGCAATTTTGTATACTGTTATAATATTATATATGCGATACATTGATAGGTAAAGTCTAAAATATTATAATAGTATTAACTGTGTTGGACAGTTGGCAATCGGAAAATTAACTTATAATACCTTCATATTATTATAAATTACAATATATTATTATGATATATTTGGACTTAGTAGTATATACAAAATTATTAAAAAACTGTAAAAAAAATTATAATTTGCCGAGTGCCAACTGCCCAACTCAAATACTTAATGTAGGTATCAATGTGCCAACTGACATATACATATTATACGCTCAGGGGGGTGGGACACCCCCTAAAACCCCCCTTCGGGACGGCCCTGAATGCTACCAGTCTAGTAATCTTAATAATTTTTTCAAATATTTTAGCAATGTTTGAAATTATTGAAATTGGTTGGTAGTTATTGATTATATTCGTTTCAGCTTTTTTGAATATTTGTGTGACTATAGACAATTTAAATAAATCAGGTACTATTGAATTTATAGACTAAAGATGGAAAATATGTTTTAATGGGGGTTAAAAATGGTCTTTTTTAATAGATTAACCGTAATACCATCTAGACCAGGCGAGGAACCGTTTCGAAATTTGATTTGTAATTTCACTTTTGTTGGTAAGAATAAATTGATTACATATTGGTTTACTTGAGATGTGGTTGTCAATTAGAGTGTCTATAATATGAATTTCATTTTGTTGATTTCTTAACTTAATAAGTAGATCTGATGCTACATTTATGAAGAAGTCATTCAATTTACTTGAAATAATTTGACCATTTACTTTTACATTTAATTCAGTATCTTCATGTAATTTTGTATTTTTTATAATATTTGGTTTAATACCTCTACCGATAAAATTATTAATTAATTTCCAACTCATTTAAGGATTTCATTTGGTTTTTCTAATAATTCTGATTTATAATATATATTTTTGGCATTTCTAATTAATTAAGTGACTTTATTTCTGAAGTATCTATTATATTTATTTAGTTCATTAGTGTTGTTTTTTTAAACTTTAAGATGAAGAAGATCTCTATCCCTGATTGATTTTATTAATTCCGTGGTCAACCACGGCTAGATTTTAAATACTTTCAAAGAAATTTCAATACAAACTGATGCCAATTGTATTATGTCGTTTAATGTATACTATTAATAAAACATTTAGTAGAGTAATTTACATCAGTGTGTGCTAATATAGTACTTCATGATTGATTAGATATTAAATTTGATATTATAGAATGGTCCGTTTTAGTAATTATGAGAGGGTTTGGCATATTTTTTCTATTGCTTATTAGATTCCAAATGCTAAGACATATTGGATGACGATCAGTTATTGGACTGACTATTTGTTTTACACATTTAATTGTGTAACAGATTTGTTAAGATAACATGCAATTTCTGTTCCTGAGTTTATCTAAATATTTACCCATCTCAGTATGACAATAATCAGCTACTTCGCTTTTCCATCCTCTATAGTATGCAAAAGAATTATACATTTCAAAAAGTTCTTGTGTGAATATCATTGCTTCTTGACCTCCAACTCCAGCCGTTATTTCCAACATGACGTCTTCACAATCAAAATCTTCATTGGGCACTAATGAATTTAGAAGCTGATACATATTTTAAGATTATAAATATTGTATACTTTCAATAGTTTAAGTATCAAATTGATTGAGTATTGTAACACATACTTCTAGTTCTAGTTTTGTCAATTGCTCTTCATGAGACTTTTTTTCTTTTTGTAACTGTTCACCAAATTCTTTGTCTTTTTCTTTTTCTTGATTAACAAACACAATACTATAAGTCATAAATATTTAATATTTGAATAGGTACATGATATATTTTGTTGAGAAAATATATAATATTATGCTAACCTATTTCAAATTCATTAAGTGATTGTAAATCAACTTTTAAAGAACGTATAGCAGATATTAAGGCAGACACGTTAGGTTTGGACATGCTCTCCGAGTAATCTTCGGATATAAGTTTGTTCAAAAATGACCGTACTCCTGAATTGCGTAACAGCTCACTAGATATTCCATTGGTTGTTGGAGCCAAAGAAGAATATGAATGACATACTAAGAACTGATGACTTGAAAGCGATGATCGAACATTTTTAATCGGCCACAAGGTTCTATTATACAACCCAAATATATATCTGCTATTGAAGAACTTCATGTTTGACAAAGATACCATTAAATAAACGACATACTCGATTTAAAACTAATAATAAAATAACTTAATTACGTAAATAGTTAAAATGTCATTGTTGTAACTTGGAATTCATATTTTAATTAACAACAAAGTGAAAAGAGTCAACACTCCACAACCGACAGACAAAATATTTACTATAATATGTGTTATCAAAATCTATTTTAAATTGAAATCATTTTTTGATAACAACATGATAAACGAGATTGGTTGGTACCACGATTTTGCTGGCTAACCATGTACCACTCCTCTCCACCCATCTAAGGCAATTCTAAGCTTATAGCTAATTACAGCTAACTTACAAACTAATTCAATTTTTATACTCAGAAATTATTGTGCTTTAGGAAATTAAATGAATGCATTAAAAAACTTAAAACATTAATACTATTTGAAATAATGAATGTTTCGTGATGAAGAATCGCCTTTTACCGTTACATATTTCCATTCTTATAACCTATAGCCTATAGGCTATAGGCTATAGGTTAGGACTCGAGTCTAATACAGAGTGAGCCAAATTAAGAATTAAACCAATAATATTTCTATTTAAAATAATTATAATATTATACAATACCAGTTCAAATAACTTATTTCGACTCCAATGTCTGCATAGGTAGTATAAATAAATTTTAAAATTAAATCCAACTTAACTAGGTAGGTACTTTACACTGTACGTATTTTTATTACCTACCACTAAAGTATAGCACCAGGTATTAAAAACAATAATCAAAAAATAATTTAAACTCTTGAAAAAGTTTAACTCTTAAAATAATTAATATTTACCCACAACTAGGTAGGAGGTACGTGCAATCATATTGTTAAAACTAAAAACTGTGAAAAATGAAGAAATCGAACAAATTTTCTATTAAGACGTGCTAACGCCTAACGGCTAACACCTACTAACCCAATGACTCCAGAATGATTCCAGGCATAGACTAATGATCCCCTTATATTCCCCTACAATCTATGTGAAATATTGGCACCCAACCCAAAGATGAAATTGTTTCTTATTAAACTCCTCAAAGAGATGATGTAGAAAATATGACATACCTATTAACATGGATTATATATCACATGTAATTACAATAATTTAAACCATTCATGTATCATATTTAAAATATTTTGTATAAAATTATAATTGTAATGTGTATTTTAGAAACGCCAATAACCTAGCAGTTGAGGCTTATAAATAGATAGATAATAAAAAAAACACAATATGCATATCATTATATTCTTTTAGGAAATAAAATGAATTGGCTACAAATCTAATAATATGCGTTGTTTTCGTTGTCCGGGAGAAATTCCATAGGTACCTATGTAGTATGTAATATGTTTATAAGTTGTTCCAATTGCGAATTTTCGTGTTTAGTATTGTTTTAATTTCGTACGAATTATTTTCAGGTACAGAAAAAAAAGTTTTTTTAGTGACAATAAACAACAATATTATAAATAAAAACTCAATTTGTGTATACATTTGTTTTGTAAAAAGCAATTTTAAAATAATTTGAACGAGAAACCACGGTCCTATTGATTTACAACGACGACTAGCTACAAATACGGATATCATGAATGTGCCATCATCTGCGGTAATTTCTCACAATTTATTCACATAGTATCATCGTTAAAACCAATAAATTAGGCTTTCATACAGGAACGATGAATGTATTGGTTTCAGAGCCGGATTAAGGGGGGGGGGCTATAGCGGGCTATATACTGTATTACTGTGTAATTTCCACGGACTAAGATATGGCTTAGTCCGTGGATAAAGGAGTCTCAATTGCCTCTCCTTCGGGAACGCGGTCTCAAAAGTGTTTATTTTATATTTTAGTTGTATTGGCATACTTAAATATAGCCAATGTCAGATACAAAAAATATTTATGATCATCAAGGAGACCACTGTAAAAATAAAATTATTATATTTTCAAATTTCGAAAAATACAAATGTTAACAAAATATAAAATAAATAAATATAAATATTTGATAAAATTAATAATTTATACAAAATGAAAGTTTATGATTTAAAAATAGGATTAATTAAATGATTAAATGATTGTTAAATATATATGTTACTGGCAAACACGCAAATTTATTAAGGAACGTTAATGATTAGTCCCAGGGCCGGATTATGGTCATAATTTAAGGGGGGCTATTACTTTTATTGAGGCCTTTTCACCTAAAACAATTTCCTTTTTTTCTTCTGATTTATTAATTTGTAATAAATATAAATTAAAATAAGTATAGCATTGTTTTTAAATAACATTTTATTCTTATATCATATTATAAATTTTTCGGCATATGCAATAAAAAAAATATACCTACACATATATTTTGAATCTTATATAATATTATTATGTTTGAAAAACTTTTTCCTGGATTTTTCCTGGGCAAATTGTCTTATAATATTTTCAAATGAAATATTCATAGTCAATTCACACTCTATTGAAAGAATAGATAGAGATGTCAGTCTTGATTCACCCATCATACAACGATATTTATTTTTAATTATTGTTAGTGCAGAAAAAGATCGTTCACTTTCACAGTTAGTAACTGGTATACTTAAAAAAATTCGGAACGCTACATAAATATGTGGAAAAACGCCCGAGAGATTATCTTCAACAATCATTTTTAACATGTTAACCGGGTTTTTTATTAATTTATTATCTTCCTTGACTTTAACCATACCAATGAATTGTTTCAATTCGTCGTATAGACTTTCTTCTAGATCACGAGAGTAAACTTTGACTAAATTATTTACGGATTTTTTCAATAAATTATCATCAATCACGTCCAAGCGAGTCAAAAATCCAAAAAGATTTGTTATATTGTCATAAGCTGAGCTACGTTTTTTTAATTCGGTATGCAATTTATCAATGATAACAAAAAAAGTGTTGACTCTAAATATATCTCTACCTTTTAAACTCTCATGACATGTAGACATGTAGTACCATCCGAATATTTTTGAATAATATTACGTTTGTTTTTTCCTCCATTAGACCATTCTTTATTAACTGAGAGACTCAATATTTTTGCTTCATCTTCAATTGCGTCAAAATCATTTCTGAGTTCATCAACAAATGTTATCAACGATTGTAGCATGCTATTACCAGCAGTGTTGTAAAGTATTTGAGTAAAAGTATTCAAATACTTTTTTCCGTATTGAATACTTTTTCAAATACTTTTATTTTTGAAGTATTTGAACGGTATTTTAAATACATTTTTTTACTATTGAATACTATTTTATTGAATACTTTTTTTATTCCTTCAACTTTTTATTCATTGTCAAATAATAATAATGTCTTAATAATATTATAATATATATTTATCATTTATGAACAATTCTATATTGGTTTAAGTTTTCGTCTATTAATAGCTAATTAATATTAGTTACTCTGAGAAACCGTCTGTTTATCGTCGACACTCGACGACGATTGGAACGGTACGTTTCGGTACCTACTACCTACCAATATAGTATATTATCATAGCGAAATATAATACGAACATTAGGTAGGTAAGGTATGTCGTATACGTAGTTATTTTTTTGTTTTGTATTTGAAAATTTTTTCAAATACTTCTAAAAAGTATTTGAGTAATACTCAAATACTTTACAATAGATAGTATTTGGGTGGTATTTTAAATACTTTATTTTATAAGTATTTGAGTAATTACTCAAATACTTTTTAAAAGTATTTTTTACAACACTGATTACCAGTGACCATATCAATTTCAATTCTTTGTAAATAAACACTTGTAGCATTGAATCTGCCTAGAACACGTTTCCAAAAAATAGTCATAAAAGCTATTTCTAATTTTATTAACTTTTTCTTAATTGAATTGGCATCATGACGAGTGTCAGCATTTTCATTCATATCTTTAGAAATGTCAGATAACGTATTATATATCTCATCATAATTACCAGCTAATGCTTCAATAGCATCATTACGACAAGACCACAAATTTATAAGTTATAATAATGTTTTGAAAAAAAATGACACACTGTGGCCCCTTTCAACTTGCGGCCCGGGGCTATAGCCCCCCCTAGCCCCCCCCTTGATCCAGCCCTGATTAGTCCGCAATAACGATATTTCCGATCAAATTTGACAGTATACGATATTGACTAGGAAATAACGTTCATTTCCATTATTTTCAGGCAATGATGTATTTAGAAATATTTCCTATAGGTAATGACTATAATTTCGGGATTTTTCAAACATAAGAAATAGAAAAATATTAAATCAAAAATCTATTGTAAACTGGTTGTTAGGTGAACTCTAATTTTAGGTAGGTAGTAGGTACTTATTACAACTTGTAAACAATGTTATGTATGTAAAATTAAAAAAATATATTTGATCATTTTAATTGCGGAAACTGACTTGCGTTGTAAAGTTTAATAATTTATCAATAAATAATAATCGATACTAACAAATAACAATAATAAGTACTTTCCGGCTCTAATATGTGGATATCGTACATTAATTAAAAGATACATGTCTGTCAGATACATAATACGGATCCAGAGCAAATCCAGGGCAACAGTTTTTTTACAACACAAATACAATTATAATAAAATATTACACTTTATTCTTAATTTAAAAATGTTGTCATATAATAGTAGGTAGGTATATATGTAATCAATGTGATAAATAAATAAATTATTGATTATCTATATATATATATTATACAAATGGAGCGTGGAAATGTCATTATACCTCATCAATCGAGAACGGCTGCTCCGATTTGGATCAAATTTTTTTTAAGATATACCTACGTAATTGCCAGGAGAAGGTTTTTACGAAAGAAAATTTTAGGAAAATACACAGGAGAAGTAGGAAATCTGGATGTAAAAAATTAAGATACATATTTTGAACACCATACACCGAATATTAAATAACGAATTGAACAAAGTTTGAGTCATATAGAGTTGGTATATTTAACGAGCAACGAAGTGCACGGGATCAGCTAGTTTAATATAT